AATCTACAGGGGCTTCACAGTCTACAGGGGCTTCACAGTCTACAGGGGCTTCTCAATCTACAGGGGCTTCACAATCTACAGGGGCTTCACAGTCTACAGGGGCTTCACAGTCTACAGGGGCTTCACAGTCTACAGGGGCTTCACAGTTTACAGGTGCCTTACAGTCTACAAGTGCTTCACGTTCTACAGAGCTTCACAATCTACAGGTACTTCACAGTCCACAGGGGCTTCAGTCTACAGGTACTTCACAGTCTACAGGGGCTTCACAGTCTACAGGTGCTTCACAGTCTACAGGGGTTTCACAGTCTACAGGGGCTTCAGTCTACAGGGGCTTCACAGTCTACAGGGGCTTCACAGTCTACAGGTGCTTCACAGTCTACAGGGGTTTCACCGTCTACAGGGGCTTCAGTCTACAGGGGCTTCACAGTCTACAGGGGCTTCACAGTCTACAGGGGCTTTACAGTCTACAGGGGCTTCACAGTCTACAGGGGCTTCACAGTCTACAGGGGCTTCAGTCTACAGGGGCTTCATAGTCTACAGGTGCTTCACAGTCTACAGGGGCTTCAGTCCACAGGTACTTCACAGTCTACAGGGGCTTCATAGTCTACAGGGGCTTCAGTCTACAGGTAATTCACAGTCTACAGGTGCTTCACAGTCTACAGGTACTTCACAGTCTACAGGGGCTTCACAGTCTACAGGTACTTCACAGTCTACAGGGGCTTCAGTCTACAGGTACTTCACAGTCTACAGGGGCTTCACAGTCTACAGGGGCTTCACATTCTACAGGGGCTTCACAGTCTACAGGGGCTTCACAGTCTACAGGTGCTTCACAGTCTACAGGGGCTTGAAACAATATTATTTGTTACACAGCATAGTTTTTTTAATTAACATATTTATTGAAAGGGGGAAGTGGGGAAGTGGGGAAGGGGGGTGGGGGGTTAGAGAGCTGATAGACCTGCAAATACTCGGTGTCACCGACTGGAAAAAGAAGGCCAGCCAAAGAGATGAGTGGATGCGGGTGATTTCTGCAGCATTGAACCTCAAGAGAAGAAGAAAATGAATCCTTTGTATTTTTTTTTAATTTGCACTTTGGAAAATCAAGATTTAAAATTCTCTAATTTGTAATTTAGATCCTTTTTGAGGATTGTACAATTTCTGTGATTTCGCAACCACGTTTAAAAAATGATTTCTTTTAATAAACATCACACGACAGTATGTTTCCATTATCCATAGATTCGCAAGGCGTATATATTTCACATTTTTTTTTTTTTTTTTAGATTAGTTGGTGCAGTTAAATACAATAAGGGTTCCCGGGCTTTATATAGCGCAGCTGTTGTGTCGTTTTGTTCAATATGGCCGGTGGCGGGTTTACGTGTGTGTTGTTGAAATATCTTACGTAAGAATTCTACGTGTGTGTATAGTAACCAACTTATCGTGTCCGACTATCTCCATCAAAGACAAACTACATTTCTAGAGACGATTGTTGGCTTTGGCGCCACTAAAAACGGAAATACGCATTTACTGTGTGCACATATTTGTTGATTGTTCCGGAACTGTTGTTTATTCACTAGTTTTTCAAATGCGACTGTGAGGGACATTTCATTTGATTCGCACTGGCTCAGGAAGGGAACAACTATGGGGAAACCTGACTGTGGTGACGTTGAAACATCGACTAACAAACTACCTAACATAGCTAAGGACCTCACCTAGTCTAAATCTGGCCCTGATTATATTATTTATCTGCCATTCATTGCATTATTAGTATTAACACTTTATTATCACTTTGGATCTTTTCTTCAGGCAATGCCGACGTAGTGGGGAATGAACAAGCAGACAGATTGGCTGGATATGTACCACTGGGTGGTGAATTGATCTATTACAAGGCAGATGTGGTCAGCGGCTTATGCGAAAAAGTAATGAAGTCAGAAGAGAAATTAGATTATTATGGGCTGGAGAGAATGAGGCTCCTGAGTTGGACCAGAGGATCGGCCTGCAAACTACACTCAGAGGAAAGGCAAGACAGACCTAACACAAGACTACGACCGGCACCATTAGCATTGGAAATCTGCACTGGCTCCTGAGGATGGGAACGGAGCGCCTATGGGAAAGCCCCGAATGCTTTGGTGTCAATTCTTGACTCACCTTAATGCAACTTATTATTATCATGATTATTGTTATCATTACTAGTTAATCACTTCGTTAAGTTTTATTTGTCTGGTCATCCCTGGATCACAACTCTCAACCGTTTTACTGCATCAGTTGCTTTGTCTCTCTCTCTCTCTCTTCTGTTGATGTGTCAAGTGCGTTAATGATTATATGTCTGAGTGTACTGGGACGCGTGTGCGTGTAAGACATGAGGAAGCGGGGTTTGTATGATAAAGAAGACGTTCTGCAACAGGATGAAACTCTGGTGTAGCCTTAATGGCATTTTTATATGCACCTAGAACTAAGTGGTGTCGAGTTATTCACTAAATAACCAGCATTAAAGAGATACCCAGGTTACCTAACACCCCCCCCCCCCCCCCCCCTCCTCCAATAGAAATAGGTGTCGTTGCATGAAACGCTCGGTGGTAAAAAACAAACATGAGAGGGTGCAGTCGGTTCATTTATAAATTTTTGGGCTGGCGTGTGGTGCGCTCTCGGGGGTGTTCTGGGTATTTTGTTTCTTCTTTCAGTGAACATCATCACCATCAATAATAATAACAATAATAACAATAATATTAATAATGTAATAATCATGTAATAAGGATACATGACGATGATGATAATAATGATAACAGTATGATAAAAACGTGCTGAAGTGCAAACAAATATATTAATACCTTTTAAATAATAAATGAATCATCAAAAACTTCAAAAGATAATTTTCTACATGGTTAGAAACATCGACACACCGGAACCTACCAATTAAATACCTTTCTTAAATGTTTGTGTATTCTAGACAAAGCAATAAGGTCTTACTGTGTTCGTAAATTGTTGCTGTGATTGTTATTCGACATTTGCTTCTTCAAAATAAATTTCTGTAACCTATGGTGCCATTTCAATGGGTTGAAATGAATTCTGTCCGTATTCCATAGTCGTGGATTTCAAGCTGTACGATAGACATGGCCAATGAGACACCTTTTTGGGGGGTGCCTAGTTGACCATGTATCTTAGTGCACTTGTATTCATTGCGAGGTGACAGGTTCAATTCCCGGCACGGTAACTATAGCTTTCGATTTTTATGTTGTCTAGTGTGTTCTTCTATCTTTCTACTCCTTTCTATGAGTGCCGTTCACAATACTTTCTGTTACTTGATTAATTCAAATTTACGGAGGTGAGCCAGCTCTCTCGCCTCAAAGTAATTTTTTTAAGAGAAAAAGGGGCAGGGGCGGGCGCTTTCAATCTTTTTTTTATGCCCCCCCCCCCCCAGGTTCGAGTGTCCCTTGATAATGTTGACACATTCACATAGTGGGCAAGAATTTGTTCTTATTTACATTTGTGTGTGTGTGTGTGTGTGTGTGTGTGTGTGTGTGTGTGTGTGTGTGTGTGTGTGTGACAATTGTTCTCAGTAAGTTTCAAATTCAATACTTTGTACAGTAATGTCCTGGCATCAATTCAATACTTTGTACAGTAATGTCCTGGCATCAACTGAATACTTTGTACAGTAATGTCCTGGCATCAACTGAATACTTTGTACAGTAATGTCCTGGCATCAACTCAATACTTTGTACAGTAATGTCTTGGCATCAACTGAATACTTTGTACAGTAATGTCCTGGCATCAACTCAATACTTTGTACAGTAATGTCCTGGCATCAACTCAATACTTTGTACAGTAATGTCCTGGCATCAACTCAATACTTTGTACAGTAATGTCCTGGCATCAACTCAATACTTTGTACAGTAATGTCCTGGCATCAACTCAATACTTTGTACAGTAATGTCTTGGCATCAACTGAATACTTTGTACAGTAATGTCCTGGCATCAGCTCAATACTTTGTACAGTAATGTCCTGGCATCAACTCAATACTTTGTACAGTAATGTCCTGGCATCAACTCAATACTTTGTACAGTAATGCCCTGGCTTCAACTCAATACTTTGTACAGTAATGTCCTGGCATCAACTAGTGCAGAAAACCACGACGAAGAAAACTTGAGAGCGCGCAGAGCGAAGGGAATACCAGGCGAAACAACGCCATCAACAATCATCTTTGAGAAATGAGCAACAACGTGAACGGAGCAGGGAAATGGTCACGTAGTCGATTTTTTTTACTTGAAAAAAATATTGAATTATGTTGTTGATCATGATAGAGAAGAAGAAGAAGAAGAAGAAGAAGAAGAAGAAGAAGAAGAAGAAGAAGAAGAAGAAGAAGAAGAAGAAAGAAGAAGAAGAAGAAGAAGAAGAAGAAGAAGAAGAAAAAAAGAAGACGAGGGAGGAGTATATGAAGAGACAGAGGTATATGAGGAAAAGAAGAAGGAAATGAAAAAAGAGGAGGCGGAGGAGAAGAAGAAGAAGAAGAAGAAGAAGAAGAAGAAGAAGAAGAAGAAGAAGAAGAAGAAGAGAAGACAAGAAGTATAAGAGAAGAAGAAGAAGAAGAAGAGAAGAAGAAGAAGAAGAAGAAGAAGAAAAAGAGGAGGCGAAGAAGAAGAAGAAAAAGAAGACGAGGGAGAGTATATGAAGAGAAGAAGAGGAAAAGAGAAGAAGAAATGAAAAAAGAAGAAGGCGGAGGAGAAGAAGAAGAAGAAGAAGAAAGAAGAAGAAGAAGAAGAAGAAGAAGAAGAAGAAGGAGAAGAAGGAGAAGAAGGAGAAGGGAAATTCAACAAGAAATTAGGAGAAGAAGAAGAAGAAAAAGGAAAAGGAGGAAGAAGAAAAGCAGTAGTAGAAGAATAAATAAACATACCACAACCATTACAACCAACACCACAAACCACCAACAACAAAAATTGGAACCCTAAGTCAGGGGAGAACACTCCCAGCGCCTTTCAAGCAGACGAGCCAAAGGTTGTAGTTTTTTCTCATGGTAGCAACTCCACAAACACCAGTCCACTCTCTTCTCATGCCTTCTAGTCAGTTATTTCGATCACTTGGCAAACAGCACCATGCATACAAAATTCTCAGCAAAACAAAAATGTGTTTAAAAGCAGAATTTTCGGTTTCACAAGGAGATGTCAGGTGAGGTGACATTTTTTTAACAGTCTGCTAGATCGATTTGAGTATCAACATCTGCCTCAATTTCTGGTAGAAATATTAACTGTTAACAATAATGAAGCGAGATTTCGTTGTCCTTGTTATAATAACAAACAAACACAATTAGGGAGGGCGTGTTGTTAGGCTTGGCTTGGCCTGAGTTACTCGAGGACCTATATTCCTTGGGGATATAGGCCTAAAACATAGGCCCTAACTGGCAGAAGGAGAAGGCTGTTTGATATAGGAAATAGACGGCGCGTCTATTGATGCAGCTAGACTATTAAAAAATGGGCTCTCCTCCGAACGGCGACATAATATTATGGCGGCCATAAAATATCCAAAAATATTCGAACGGGGCTCAGGCATATAAAAAATATGGACTTTCTGCCAAGAAACAAATCGCGGCAAAACTAGGATTACTTGACAATATCAACATTGCACACAGTAGTAGCAGATGATAAATACAGACCGTTGACAATTTCGAGCGTTTCTGCAGACGATACTAGCAGACGATATTAGCGACCGTTGACAATTTCGAGACATTACAGACAATGAAAGCGATATGGCAGGTAGACCATGCGCTCCCACGCAGATTAGCAATACTGTTCGTCCGATTAAGGATTTAGCAGTGGTAGATGTCAGACCTGCCGACCTGTATCCTCACACTTTTCGGCATGCGCAAAACGCGATTAAACTTACCGCCGAGCGTATCCCCCGCGCCGCTACGCGTAGTTATCTAGTTTAGCCCCCATCCGATACGGTCGGTGGTGAGGCACAGTCACAGAAACAGTTCCGCAAGTAACATATCGCTGAGACCCTGTTAGAGCATTTGTTTCGTTATACGGAGCCGGCATATTTTTAAAACAATTAAGCCCCGTTCAGATATTTTAGGATATTTTATGGCCACGATAATATTATGACGCCGTTCGGAGGAGAGCCAAAAAATGTATTAATATATATATATATATATCATTACTAAATCTGATGGTAATCTTCTCAGTCTATCCAAGCCATTGTTGCAGCTACACTCTTTATATATATATATATATATAAAAGAATACTAAATCAGATGGTAATCTCTGACAGTCTGTCCAAGCTTCGTTCAAGGACTAAGCCACTGACAAAATGCCTCAGGAACTTTCTGTTTGTAGATGATGCAGCCTACTGCATATACAGAAAAAGATTTGCAGATTCTCATGAATTGCTATGTAAATGCATGCACAGAATTGGGACTCACTGTCATACTGAACAAAACGCAAGTGATGAGGATGAATTTGGTAAACCCACCAAACTTTAGCTTTTACGACCATGAGCTGCTGGTTGTTCATGAGTTTTAATACCTGGGCTCTTGAATCTCTTATGATCTAACCTTAGATGCAGAACTAATTAGACAAATAGAAAAGGCTTCGGTAATGCTTTCCAAGGTCATGAAGAGTGTCTGGTCAAACAAGAAGCTGTACATGGACATAGACTGTATACTCAATAAAAACGACCAAATACTGAAATCGTCTTGACGTGCCAGATCGTGTTCATAGAATCACTCAGCCTACACATTTGGGAATAGCCCTGTGATTCCAGCCACATGAAGGCTTATGTTACTTCCATTACCTCCATGGTTCAGCACCTTTGCATCTTGAGATTGATTCACACACATGACAGTCAAGCCAGTACCAAACTCTTGTGGCCAGCACGATACTGACCATATATAGAGCAAGTTTCAAATACTCGGGACACCTCATGACATCCTCATGTGGATTCCGGGGCCCCATTGTGGAGAAAACAAAAATCGACCTGCTGCATGAACAACAAGCATGCTCTAGGAGTCGACTAATTGAGGGCTTCCTTCGAAGTAAGAATGCATCTACCCAAGTGGCAAGGAACCAGTAGTCTGCACACAGATAAGCTAGATCTGTAAAATGAATGGACATACAACACTGAGTTCTGGAACAAGACTTAAGTTCAGAGGTGGAAAAACAACCAGAACTTTCTGCCAGATGTTACAACCAGTGAACGTGAAGAAGAAGAAGAGAAAAAGAAGAAGAAGAAAAGAAATGATTGAAAACTGACCCTTTATGTACTTTTTTCTGCCATATAGTCCTATCCTTTGCTATCACATACAGCTCTCAGAAAGGCTAGCCAGGGCAACAAATGCCTACAGAAGTCAGATGTGTCGGCTGAAAGGCACAAATATCTCAGAAATTTTGTAAACAGGCACTACAGATTTACATCTTCAGATGGCTCACTACACTCAAGAGGAAAGGCAAGACGGACATATAACCAGATTGTGACCAGTACCATCAGTATTGAAACTCTGTGCTGGCTACTGAAGATGAGGATGGAGCACACATGGGAATGCCCCGAGTGCTGTGATGTCAATTCTTGCCTTGACTACATCTTCCGATGAATGCAGAAAAAGAAAAAACATACTGCTTGTTGCATGTCCTCCCCTTCTTTTAAACTCACTGCTTCTCTTCTCCGGTTGTTTCTGTGCCCCTGTGGGTTTCAGTGCAATGTCCTAGCTATATTGTTCTATCCACATGTGGCTTCTGGGGCCTCCTTTGGGTGGGGAGGGAGAAGAATAGACTCATTGCCTCCCTAGCAAGCATGTCATTCAAGATGACCGATGAGGAGAGAGTCTATCGATGTGAGAGTGCATCTGCCTGAGAAGCGCAGGACCAGCACTCTGCATAAAATTAAACCATATCTGTATATCAGGTGTGCATGCAAAAATTAGGTCCTGGAACAAGACTAAAGTCCAGAAGTGGATGAACAACCAGAACTTTACATCCAAGTTAACAGCCAGTGAATGCGAAGAAGAAGAAGAAGAAGATGCTGTTCTCAAGTTTTCTCAGCCTGTGTCCTATCCAACACCAGCATCTTTTCTTTACATCTTGATTCACTGGAATTTTTTAGTTCTCTCCTGAAGCTCCACTCAGTGATTCTATCCTACCTTTTAATATGCTCTATTCTTCCCAGGCACCAGTTAACAAATATCTCTAGTTTTCATTTACATTATTATCAATGTATCTCTCCACAGCGGTGATGTAGCATTGTCCTATGCAACTTACCCTGACCAGGAGCATAATGTCGACCCAAAGAAGAAGCCACTCATATTTCTGCATGGTCTGTTTGGAGCAAAGGGAAACCTCCACAGTGTGTCCAAGTACCTGGCTGACGATGGCAGAAAGGTAACCAGCCTCTTTGAGTATAATTCTCTTGTTTTCCCTGTTCCATGGACTCCATTTGCTGAAAGAAACAGTAGATCCCTTGACACCTAACAATAGATCCCTTGACCCCTAACAGTAGATCCATTGACCCCTACAATAGATCCCTTGACCCATAACAATAGATCCCTTGACCCCTAACAGTAGATCCCTTGACCCATAACAATAGATCCCTTGACCCATAACAATAGATCCCTTGACCCTTAACAATAGATCCCTTGACCCCTACAGTAGATTCCTTGACCTCTAACAGTAGATTCCTTGACCCCTAACAATAGATCCCTTGACCCCTACAGTAGATTCCTTGACCGCTAACACGTATACCTTAAAAGGCAACTAATTAGGATTGCTTAAAACTCATGTGTTGAGTTTTCTTCTTCTTCGTTGCATTAGGTTTTGTTTGCTAGGGTCAGATCATCAGGTTTGCGGCCTCTATGAATTCTTATGTCAGTTGCAGGTCCCTCGCTGGTTCCCCATATAGCTTGCTCTGTTCACTTTGTTCCTGAGTGAGATACAGAGGGCTTGAGATGCAGATATCACAGTCTATCTGTAAATCACAATACAGTGAGCTAACTGCCCTTTTAAAGTTGAATGAAGAAGAAGAAGCAGAAGACATACCATGTTTCATCTTTATAAATGAACAATAGTGAGAAGTAATTATTCTTTTGTTGTAAATTAGTTATTTACAGGTGTAAGCAGGTGTGCCATTAGTTCCTCACAAAATGTTAAATTGGTTCAATTTCTTTATCACTGTAAGCTATTTTACTGGTTTCTAAAAGTGTACCATTAGTTCCAAGCACTTGTCTGCATTAACTGTGTCATTAGTTCAACACAGTTGTCTATACTGTGTACTATTATATTAGTTCCACACATTTGTCTATTCTCTGTACCATTAATTCCAGTCATTTAACTGTACTTTGTGTGATTAGTCCCACTGTAATGTGCTCATCTAGGGGCATGTATTGTTTACATTGCTTTCAGACGAACAGTGAGTTGAAACGACACAGCATGAACGAATATTGAGTTCTTTGCTTTTATTCGTTGAATCGCCAGTTATCGCAAACATACATTCATGCTTCCTCGTGCTCGACTTGCTTGGCTGAATCTAGCGACCTGGACGGACTTCCCACATACTACAGGAATTTATCAGCGCCTCTCGAACCATCCATCTATACTTCATGGACTCTGATATCTGACATTACGACGTATGGAAAAACATTCAGTCCTCCTATTGAAATATAACGTTCACTTGACAAATCATTTATTCTTCTCAGGCGTTCATTCACGCGTCCTCTCTCAGTCAGGGCAGAACTTCAACTGTCTTACTTCAGTCTCTCGGTTCACGTCTTCCGTTCACGTCTCATGCTTTTCTTGTGTCTCTCACTTCGTTTACCATGAGACACACGAGACTCACTTCTCCCGTTTTTCTCTTCTCTCACGGGTCCTCCGACCTTTTTCTCCCCATCGGGAACTCTCTGGGGTTTCCCCGGGAATTCACAACATTACAATCTCCCCCTCCCTTCTAGTAAAAAAAAAAATTTAACCTTAAAAATTTTTTTTTCTATTACTTTATCTTTAGGTTATAATTTTAAAGGTTTGGGGATACTTTAATGTAATGATGTGGATTACCTAATAATCATTTTGGGTTTTAATGGTTACTTCCCTTTTGATAGGTTTTACATTATTTCCCTTTGTCACATTACCAGTTATAAGTACCAATAAGTACCAAGTGGCTTAATGGGAAACAACCATTCAGGCACTCTCTTCCAAGTGCGGTAGTCCATATAGGCTCTGCGTATTAACCCCATGCCATCCCACAGTCTGTATAAAAACAGAACAACAATTCTGGTACTCTCTTTCAAGTACTGAAGTCCATATCGGCTATGGAACAGAAATGTAGAAAACCCGCAAAGTCCCACCCTCACCGTTGGACTCATGGTTACTGTCACTGGTTTACGTTTCAATTAGAAACATATGTTTCCCTATTTAGGATTTCGAACTCAATCCCTTGGATTATGTGGTGTAAATTACCCATTCTTTTTCCGAAAAAGTATTATTATTCCCTTTCTATATCATAGTAATTACCCTATTACATGTTATACAACCTATATTTTCACCAATAAATTTATCTAAACAACATATGCAATCATTATTAAACCTTATTTCAACATGTTGTAACATCCTCATTGTCATAATCATCATCATTATTGTCATCATCCTCATCGTTATCATCATCATCATCATCATCATCATCATCATTGTTGTTGTCGTTATCAGCATTATTGTCATCATATTCATCTCATCGTCATCATCATTCTCCTCATTATAGTCACCATTGTCACACGTATATTGTTGCTTACTTACAAATGTAACATACATAAAAATCATCAGTTAAGCTATGTTTACATATTTCATTCATTCAACCATATTCTTTCCTGTAATTCAGGATTTCCTCAGGTAATACATACAATACAAAATTGAATCTATGTATAATCTGGACATCACGTCGGGTAGATGGTTTTCAATGCCCTTAATGTGTTCTATCTTGAACTGAAATTGGGATAATAATAACGCCCATCTGTATACTCTTGCGTTATTTGTTGCATCCATTGTTAACAATTTTGTCAGGCCTAAGTTATCAGTCAGAATAATGAATTCCTTTCCTATCAAGAATTTTTGGAATTTTTTAAGGCTGATAACAAGAGCGAGAGCCTCTTTTTCAAAAGTACTGTATTTTTGTTGGGTGGAATTAAGTTTCTGTGAAAGATATAGAACCGGAAGAAGAGTACCGGAATGCCTTTGAGCCAACATCGCGGCTATGGTATGACCACTAGCGTCAGTTTGTAGGTAGAAAGTTTTAGATGGGTCCGGTTGTCTTAGTATTGGTGGAGTAGCAAATGAAGACTTGATTTTTTGTATGATTTTGTCATGAGTTTCTGTCCAATCCTTTTTTCTAAACTGGTCTTTTTTCAAAAGTTCCGATAGAGGGGCTGTTAGTTCTGCTAACTTAGGGATGAATTTGACGTAATAATTTACAAGTCCTAATAGTGCCTGTAGTTGTTTCTTGGTCTTTTGGTCTTTCAATTTTTAAAATTTTAGAAACAATTGTCTCGTCAGTCTGAATACTACCCTGGAACACTGTATGTCCTAAAAACTGGATTTGTGTGAAACAAAACTCTGATTTCGCTGGATTAACAGTCAGATTTGCCTTTTGAATGTTGCTGAACACTTCTTTCAATGTGTCTATGTGTTCCGGCAAAGTTTTTGTGTGTATGCAAATATCATCCATGTATGCTGTTACATTATTAATACCTGTTAATACCTTACATTTCTTGTAAAATACCTTTTCATCATGTTAACATGAAAAATTTTCAATTTCCCTTTATAATCAATTTCATCATCAACACATTGATACTTTTCTTACTACAGTGTAAGGGCCACGCCATTCGATATATAATTCAACTGAATCTTTTGGTAGAAACCCACTTTTGACCGGGTTCGAAGGCCATCAGTTTGGAACTCCTATTTGCAAACATTCGCTGCGTATGTTGCGTGGGCATCTGCCTTTTTGTACTTCCATGTTACTAATACATCCTTATGAAACACTATAATGGGTGGTTTCTAAATATTGTTATACCAGATACATGATAATTAATTCCGTGTTAATGTATATAGACACAATTAAAACTGTTTAATTAAAGTGGACTGGTTAACCTAATATCACCATATATTAAAATAATCTGCTTGCTGTATGTGACTGCTGTTACCGACAAGTTGTATGTGTAATCACAGAATGAGGAAAGTGTTTAGAATAAACCATGTGTAGAAGCAATAGTTTTAGTAGTAGCAATGCAAGTAGTGTAACACTTTTGAGAAATTGACAGCTTTTGATAATCACCAAGACTTGTGAATTGAAGTTTTTCCGACTAGGATAATTAGTCACTAAAAGTTGCACTATTTGAATAACATAGATAGTACAGAATAACTCTAAGTTCTTTGTCTGAAATGTTGTCAAAATAATCTGCAATATAATTAAAATGAAGTGTAGTATCCACATCCAACCATTTGTCTGTACTGTGCACCTTTACTTCCACACAGTTTTCTACTGCACAGTTAATACCCCATAATATTGAAATAAATGTACACTGTAGTCTGTACTAGGTGTATTGCTTGCCCCCCACAGAGAATTCATGTTTTTTTCTAAACGGATGACTAAAACTAAGGCTATGTTTCAGGTGATCACATACGATGCTCGCAACCATGGAGACAGCCAGCATTCGGCAGAAATGAACTTTCGCTGTATGACTGATGACTTGATCGGGCTGATGCAAGACCTCAAACTGACCGATCCGGTTGTGATGGGTCACAGCATGGGAGGGAAAACAGCCATGACACTAGCTTTAGAAAAGGTTTGTCTTTTGTCCCTAATGTTTATCTTAGAGAAGATCAAGGCGGAGTACATATGGAAACAGTGGCTCCATCTGATACAGCATGCAGCGTTTCACATAAACACCTTCAATTTTGTCCCAGGGATGCTGGTGTGAAAGGTAATGATAGAGCAGATGCTCTGGCTGGCAGTGCGACTGCCAGGAATGGGCCCTCTATGGAGACGAGAGACAGAATGAATGCCATTTGAGAGGCTGAACACTGTGAGGCTTTCGGTTTCATAGAAATGCTTTTTTCACTGAATTGACTCCATACTCTGGGTGTACCAGCTGGAGCTGTGAGACAAGGAAAGCATGCGGGTACCAGCTGGAGCTGTGAGACAGGAAAACCATGCAGGTACCAGCTGGAGCTGTGAGACAGGAAAACCATGCAAGAGCCACCCCTCGTTATGTCAGCCAGAAAAGAATGAGAGTTGTTAGCCTAAAAGCAGTTGGAGATGTACTCAGGAGGGGATTGGAGCACTTAAGGTCATGTCCAAGGTGTGACAAAGATGACCTCTACAATGAAAAATGAACAATAATGCTCTTACCTGCATCTAAAGAACAGTTATGCTTTTGTTTACACAAAGTCTTGTTGTTGTTGTTGTTGATGATGTCATTGTTGTTGTTGTTGTTCATCCATCACAAGTGATGGAGACCATCATGTTTTTTTTTCCCCATCATCATGAAACTAAAGTCGACTGTCTGTGAGTCCCGAGGTGACTTATAAGCCCGGAAGGATCTGGGGCAATGAGGACGGAGAAACATCATCATGAAACTAAAGTCGACTGTCTGTGAGTTCCGAGGTGACTTATGAGCCTGGAAGGATCTGGGGCAATGAGGACGGAGAAACATCATCATGAAACTAAAGTCGACTGTCTGTGAGTCCCGAGGTGATAAGCCCAGCATGAGCCCGGAAGGATCTGGGGCAATGAGGACGGAGAAACATCATCATCTTCAGCCTTCATGTGACGTCACATGGGGCTCGCATTTGATTCCTCCACTCCGCTCTATTGCACGCAACTCTCTCGATTTCTGCCATGGAGTTCAGACCAGTATTTTTACCTCTTGTAATAATTTTCTTCCAAAATGTACCTTGGACATCCTCTTTTTCTCTCAATCTGTCTGTTTGTTTCACATTTCAGTGCTTGTTTTGTAATTCTTTGCTTATTTCATCTCTTAGTATGTTCAGTGTATCTCTACCCTTCTTTGTCTTACTGCAATCGATACAGACATTTGTGCAGACATTTCTCTGATCTCTTCACTTACTGGGGTCAATACAGACATTTATGCAGACATTTCTCTGATCTCTTCATTTTTTTTTAAATTTTATGTTCATTATTTTTACCAGACATTTATTTTGAAATGCATTTAATTTTCATTCCATATCTTTGATAGTTCTCCAGATTTTGCTGGCCCTTGTTAGAACTAAAAGAACATTAGAGCTGAAGATGCATAGATTGGTCTTAAAGCTGTAGAAATTGGAGCTCCATATTGTGTTATGGCTCTTAAAGACTGCTGTTGCTGTGCCAGTGTGTATCATCATTTCCTTCCCTTGATGTCTTTGAGAGTCAAAATTGTTACCTAGATAAGTGAAATGGTGTGCTACTTTTATAACAGTATAACATGTTTGATATTTAATTAACAGTCTTTGAGACAAGTTTTCTAGGTTTAATAGCATGATGATGTTGCCCAGTGTGTCATTGTTCATTTGTTGCAAGAGGTGCCATGTTTTTAGCTACAGAATAATTTCAGCCAGACAAGTTGTCAGCTCTGATTGTCCTTGACGTCAGTCCCGGCAAAAGTCCTGGAGTTGAAGAGTTGAGGAAGTTTGCGGAAACCATGAGACAGGTCAAGATTCCGTTGGGGACATCTTTACCCCAGGCAAGGCAGTTAGCAGATGCCCATTTGTCTCCAGTGGTGACGGTAAGCTGTATTTTTTATGTGGGTGAAAAAGGAGGTTGGGGGGGGGGGGGGGGGGGTGTTTTACCTTTGTATGTGAGAGAGAGATATTTATAGCTGTATACCACAATACATATATATAGAGATTTTATTTTTGAATGCTGTCAATTATACATCTTTTTTGTGTATGTGTGCATGTTGTAAAAACCTCATTAGCAGATGCCCTTTTGTCTCCAGTAGTGACGGTACGCAGTATTCCTTACATGGGAAAACAAAAAGGTGGGGAATGGTGTACCTGTATGTGTGTGTGTATGTGTGAGAGCTAGAGAGAGAGAGGGAGAGAGAGAGAGAGAGAGAGAGGAGAGAGATTTTGATTCTGCAATCCATCATTGATACATCTTTTTTATATACTTATTTTAGAACCTTATTAGCAAATGCCTATTTGTCTCCAATAGTGACAGTACACATTATTCTTTACATGAGAAGGAAAAGGGGGGCGAGGGGTGCATATGTGGGAAAGAGAGAGTGAGAGATTTGATTCTGGAATGCTGTAGTTTATGTCTTTTTTGTGTTGAGCCTGGGGGTCTCCATGGCGAAGTGATCAAGCCGTTTGCCTCACAATCTGAAGGTCATGGGTTCATTTAACGGTGACATCGTTCAGTTTGCAAGTTCAATTTTTATGGAGATTTCTGGGGATTGTTGCCACGGCTACCGAGTTCATGCTTTGTGCGACACTGTCAACAAGCGGCTAGCCTTCTGGGGAAAGAAATCTAGCCATATGGGATAAAACCGGGTGCAAACAAGTTGATCCTCTTTAACAGCCAGTTGAGACGGAGAGATTTAAATAAGAACGCAACAAGCCAACAATTTCACATACTAGCTGACCCCAAATTTCCAACACCTGGTATCACAGTAGAGAAAAAGAAAACACAAATGATAAAGTGCAGTCTTCATATCAACCTTATGTTGTGAGTGTCGGACCTGGACACTGACTAGAGACCTCGAAAGTAAACTGACTACATGTGAAATGAGATGTTTGAGAAAGTCTGAAGAAAAAAAAACAACTTGAAGAAGTCATGTGAAAAGGAAAGAAAATTACAGGAACTTTTGGAATAACACCTGTGATGAAATTAATTTAAAAGATAGACTGAAATAATTTTCCTATTTAATGAGAATCGAACGATACCAGCAATAAGAGCATGCAACATGAAAGTAGAAACACTAAGAGATAGCGGATGACCAAGAAGAACATGGTTTGAATTAGTCACTTATGCCTTGAGACTCCACACCATCACAATATTTTGGGCAACTGAGCATGCCCTAGCTCGGATACCAGTCATTGGTTAATCTTCCTCCTGTGGTTATCGGGGTCCCATTGTAGGGAAGACAAGAATAGACCCACAGCCTCCCCAACAGCATTTTGTAAGAGTTACCAAATTGGGCTTGCTTCAAAGTCAGAGTGCATCTGCCTAAGAGGTGAGGAACCTATGGTTTGCATACAAATAAGCTCTGTAAAACAAACCAACCAGAACTTTCCGCCCGAGTTTATAACCGGCAAACACAAAGAAGAAGAAGCAGAAGATCTGTGAATCTGGGCTGCTTACTGACATATAGCAGAATCTGGACACAAGAACAAAAGAAAGTCCTTGTCAGTTAAGGGAGTCATGATGGTGTAGTGGCTAGGTCTTTCACATTGAGACAAATTTTATTGTGAAAACTGAACTGGTGTCCCCATTTACCTTTTTATTGTGTGCCCCTACCCCTATCGACTCAAGCATAAAGTGAGTCTCTGGTAATGTGCGCAGTCTTTGAAGAAAAAGATTTGAGCTTTTGACCTGAAATGCTACAGAAAAGCTCTTAAAATACCATGGACAAAGAAGAACGTTGACACCCGGCATGACCTAAATATCAAGGAGAACTGGTTGATAATGCGTAGCTTCTCCTGAAAGTGGAGGTATTGTGGACATGGCAAGCACCGTGGTGGTCTGGAGAGTGAGGTATTGTGGACATGCCAAGCACCACGGTGGTCTGGAGAGGACGGCGACCGAGGATGCAGTTTCCCGACAATGAGGCAGAGGCTAACCACTGCAAACACGGATACATGACATTGAAGGTGCATTGGTCATGAAAGCACATAGGGCTGGAGAATTGACTAGAGAAAGAGAGACTTTCAGGTGTGCCATAAAGAGAGCGATATTCTGTAAATGACCAGTTGATGACTGATTGGTAATTTCCTGGGACGTAGAGGTAGCTGGTGTGATGTTGACCACATCCCTGGGATGTAGAGGTAGCTGGTGTGATGTTGAACACATCCCTGGGATGTAGAGGTAGCTGGTGTGATGTTGAACACATCCCTGGGATGTAGAGGTAGCTGGTGTGATGTTGAACACATCCCTGGGATGTAAAGGTAGCTGGTGTGATGTTGACCACATCCCTGGGACATAGAGATAGCTGGTGTGATGTTGAACACATCCCTGGGACATAGAGGTAGCTGGTGTGATGTTGACCACATCCCTGAGACATAGAGGTAGCTGGTGTGATGTTGACCACATCCCTGGGATACAGAGGTAGCTGGTGTGATGTTGACCACATCACTGGGATACAGAGGTAGCTGGTGTGAAGTTGACCACATCCCTGGGACATAGAGGTAGCTGGTGTAATGTTGATCACATCCCTGGGATATAGAGGTAGCTGGTGTGATGTTGACCACATCCCTGGGACATAGAGGTAGCTGGTGTGATGTTGACCACATCCCTGGGACATAGAGGTAGCTGGTGTAATGTTGATCACATCCCTGGGATATAGAGGTAGCTGGTGTGATGTTGACCACATCTCTGGGATATAGAGGTAGCTGGTGTGATGTTGAACATATCTCTGGGATATAGAGGTAGCTGGTGTGATGTTGAACACATCACCCTTAAAGGGCCATTCGGCCTAAAATATATGTCTAGCCTTATATGCTTAGCGGCGTCCGTGGCTTAGGTGTTGTGAGTCCGGCTCGCAATTCCAACGTACTGCAATCGAAACCCTCTGCTGGCTGCATGGATTTGCATCATGGTATGGGGCGTCACAGGTCAACCCAGCCTAAACTGGCTAGCAGAATGTATGTCCTGGTGAAGTAAAGATGGCGGGCATAATGCTGACCACATTACCCACCTAGTGCTATTTGGTCTGTAAACATATGAATGCTCTTTCTATATGCCCAATGTGCCTAAAAGCATGAAAAGGGATCCTTACTTACTCTTTATTATTTACTTAATGCTGGAGAAGGGATGTTTATTTCACTTTAGCATATGACAGTCAGTCTCTATCTGTGGCTTAGGTGTTGAGAACGTGCTTTGTAATGCCATGTTGGATCCCAGCTGCAGGCGAATTGGCAGCAGACCATTTTGCTTTGGTTCTGACAGTGGTATTGTAGTCGACCATTCAGAAGCAGTGGCAATTACTGACCGTAGATTTCTTTTTAAAAAAACCACAACAGCCAAAAAATGCTGGGGTTTGGTTCTGCAATGTCCTGTAAAGAATAACTAACTGTATGACAATCACATGGTAAATGATGCTTTACTGTTGACAATTCTTTGCTCTGTAACAGAATGAAGGTATTCGTCGGTTCTTATTAACAAACCTGCGGCAGTTTGAAGGAGGAGAAATCCGTTGGAGAAACAACCTTGATGCCTTTCTAGAAAACTACAGTGAAATAGAGAACTTCCCTGTGCTGGTGGCCAAACCGTTTCTGAAACCGACACTGTTCATTTTTGGGGAGAATTCAGCACACTACAGGTTCATAAGTACATGCTTTTGTGTTAACAAAAAGATCATGTCATTAATTTTAAGACTTCCAAAGTGATCACATGGTAATCTTAGATTTCTGTTGATAATATGTAAAGGTCTCTTTACACGCTTAGTGTTGCATCCAGCCTTTGAGGCTAGACTCACGTATGTATAGACCAGTGAGCCCTTGATAGGTGATGTGGTCACACAGGCTGTCTTTACTTCCCAGCACTTTACGTGGGACACATTTAAAGCTGAGTTGACCTAGGAGCCAGTCATTAAAAAAAAGACACCATGCAGATTTGAACCCATGATCCTCGGATCTGAAGGCGAATATCTAGCCACTATACCACAGTGACTCTCATTGATAAAATATTCATTGTAACAAAGGATGACATAATTTGTGTATTTCAGTCGAAAGGATTTGTGTTTGGTGCCTTACTGTATGTTGATGTGTCCACGTTATTTAACCAAATTATGTATAGATGTGTATTTTGTTTTTGTTTGTAGGCACAGATTGATTTGTTGTTGTTGTTCATGTAAACATTGTTTGTAGGCAGAGATTTGTTTTTATTGGTTGTTTTGAACTGCTTTGTTAGTAGACACAAACTGGTTTAATTTGTTGATGTTATCTACTTTATTTGTAGGCATAGATTGTTTTTAATTTGTTGATGTGGACTGTTTTATTTGAATGGATATTTTGTTTATGTTGTTGGTAGATGTAAATTGTTTTATGCGTAAGTACCTATTTTGTCTGTAGGAATGGCGGCTAATTCTTTAGAACATTTTATCTGCAAAATCCAGACACAATAGATGTCTGCAAAAGGCTACCTAGAGATTGTTGACTGCCTATGCTCCATTCTGAGATCTTTTATGTTTGGATTATATGCTCAGTTGAGAACCATCAGGTGGGCTGCCTCTTCGCATGTCAGCAACAAGTCCTTGTTCCCCACAGCTTGCACTGCACACTTCGTTCTTGAGGCCAGGTTTCTCTTTGCATGTCAGCAACAAGTCCTTGTTCCCCACAGCTTGCACTGCACACTTCGTTCTTGAGGCCAGGTTTCTCTTCGCATGTCAGCAACAAGTCCTTGTTCCCCACAGCTTGCACTGCACACTTTGTTCTTGAGGCCAGGTTTCTCTTTGCATGTCAGCAACAAGTCCTTGTTCCCCACAGCTTGCACTGCACACTTTGTTCTTGAAGCCAGGTTTCTCTTTGCATGTCAGCAACAAGTCCTTGTTCCCCACAGCTTGCACTGCACACTTCGTTCTTGAGGCCAGGTTTCTCTTCCCATGTCAGCAACAAGTCCTTGTTCCCCACAGCTTGCTCTGCACACTTTGTTCTTGAGGCCAGGTTTCTCTTCGCATGTCAGCAACAAGTCCTTGTTCCCCACAGCTTGCACTGCACACTTTGTTCTTGAGGCCAGGTTTCTCTTCCCATGTCAGCAACAAGTCCTTGTTCCCCACAGCTTGCTCTGCACACTTCGTTCTTGAGGCCAGGTTTCTCTTCGCATGTCAGCAACAAGTCCTTGTTCCCCACAGCTTGCACTGCACACTTTGTTCTTGAGGTCAGGTTTCTCTTTGCATGTTAGCAACAAGTCCTTGTTCCCCACAGCTTGCACTGCACACTTTGTTCTTGAGGCCAGGTTTCTCTTCGCAGTTGTAACTATAGTGGTCAACCTGCAGAATGTGCTTAGGTGTTTGTGGTCCCATCTTACAAGCACGCTGTGGGGACTGTACAGTCTATATTTTATGCATGGTTATTGAGCTTGCAGTGTCCTGTCCTTGGACGGAAAATTGTTGTACAGTCGAGTCTGGATAAGAAGAAGTCGCAGGGACCTAAGAAAAGGCTTTCATTAATCAGGACTTCTACTTATCCAGACAGTACACACCACAGAGAAAATTGTCGGGACTAAGCTGGTCATGTCGACTTAACCGAAGTTTGACTTATCCGAGTTTGACTTAAGTGGACTCGACTATATAATGTGAATTTGAACTCTAGACCCTCAGGTCAGCAAGCAAGAGTCTAGCTGTTATACTAACATGGTAATAAACATTCATAAAATGGCTGGGGAATGATGTTCAGTGATATTCATCTTGTTCTACAGAGAGCTGGACGAAAGCAAGATCAGGGTCTTTTTTCCCGAGGCTGAGATTTCTGTGCTGAAGGACGCGGGACACTTTGTACATGCTGAGAAACCCCTAGAACTGGTGAAGATTGTGAAACAGTTTCTACAGGCAGTCAATGGAGGTTCCAGTTGATATTTGCCTTACCGCCTCTGTCCATCTTTCTGCCAGTTTGCCTCCATCCAACTTTCTGTCAATCTGCCTTTTTGTCCATCTATCTGCTGATCTGCCTTTGTCCATCTTTCCTGCTAATCTGCTTTTGTCTTTCTGTCTGCCAGTGTCTTTCTGCCCATCTGCCTGTCTCTGTATCACTTTATTTGGTCTAGTGAGAGAGTCAGATGCAGTTTCTGCAGATATTGAACTGAACTCCCAGCTGATGTATGTGTTTGTGCTAATCCTGAAGTGGTTTCTCACTGATACTTGTCTGTCTGACGGTTTGTACTATATCTAACTCATTAGTGAAATCCTGAGGTGATTGATCATTCATCATCATCAAGTGACTGTCTCCACAATGAAGTCTGGCCAAAATGAATCTCACACAGCTACTTATCTACCTCTTGGTGTTAGTGCCCACCTGTGTATCATTGTCTATCTCTTGCCTGCTTGTCTTCAACTATTCCCTCCTATATGTTTTTTTACATGATTTAAATCCATTTGGATATTTTACTTTTCTATTCTTTTAAAATATCCCTGTGTGCTTTGGTGCCCTATTTTTAGGAGGAAAAATGATAGATCCACTACTCTCCCAACACTTCTCCCCCTCACACACACACCCACACAGGTGTGCTGTGAAAGATGACTAGAATGAGGTGTTTTTCCCTTTGAAGTTGGAGTGCATCTGCCTGATATGCCAGGAGCCAACAGTCTAAATGCATTTAAGCCAGATTGTACACTGGATGTGCATGCAAAACTTGAGTTCTGGATCAAGACCAAGGTCCAGAAGTATGCGAGCAGCCAGAACTTTCCTCTAGATTAAAAAATTAAAAGAAGTGAAGATCCATTTTCACGCCTTTTATTTATTATTTTTTTTTTGAAAGTGTATACATCATTTTTAATAACCTTGTATATAAAACATTTAATGGCGTATGAGGAGTTCTCTGATACCGAAGAAATAATAATAGCCCTAGCACTGCTGGCACCCCTTCAACAGTACGCAGAAACTGGAAACATTGTTTAGTGCATCGTATTGTTCAGCGTACTGTAGTAGATACTCTGTGTTGTGTGCCGGCAATTTTTACTCTAGACACCCCCCCCCCCCCCCCCGCCCCCCCCCCCCCCCGCCTTTTAGGCTCATCAGGCATATGGGAAGAGCACCATATTTTAACAGACCAATCGGCACTAGCTGGGTAATGTGATCATCATTATGCCAGCCACCTTTACTTCCCAAGACTTCACCTAGTACCCACTCAAGGCTGGGTGAACCTGGGAGCCGAGGTCATTTAACAAAAAAAAGTCTGGTACCCAATATTTGTATAACAAAGCATTATCAGTCCAGGTTGTTACATACTGATGTGCTTATTTTCTATTGATGTTTATTTCTGCATTCTCGGGAAACTGTTTGCTGTCACCTTATTTTGTACAAAATAGCATGATGATTGTGGAAGCCATCTCAGGTGGAGATGAATTAGACGGATTGTGTGGAGATCCTGATGCCTCTTCAGTATCCTGGTTATGATGAGATGTTTGGTCACTGATGATATCTGGGTATTGATGAGATATCTTGGTGCAAGTGAGATTTCTGGGTGCTGATGAGATATCTGGGTGCTGATGAGATATCTGGGTGATGATGAGATATCTGGTCACTGATGAGGTATCTGGGTGATGATGAGATGTTTGGTCACTGATATCTGGGTATTGATGAGATATCTTGGTGCAAGGGAGATTTCTGGGTGCTGATGAGATATCTGGGTGCTGATGAGATATCTGGTCGCTGATGAGATATCTGGTCACTGATGAGAAATCTGGGTGCTGATGAGATAGTGTGTGCTGATGAGATATATGGTGTTGATTAGAAAATTAGTGCTGATGAAATGTCTGGGTATGGATAAGATATCTGGTCACTGATGAGAAATCTTGGGTGCTGATGAGATATCTGGTCACTGATGAGAAATCTGGGTGCTGATGAGATAGTGTGTGCTGATGAGAAATCTGGGTGCTGATGAGATAGTGTGTGCTGATGAGATATATGGTGTTGATTAGAACATTAGTGCTGATGAAATGTCTGGGTACGGATAAGATATCAGGGTACTGACGAGATTTCTGGGTGCTGAAGAGATATATGGGTCCTGATGAGATTTCTGGGTGCTGATGAGATATCTGGTCTCTGATGAGATTTCTGGGGGCTGATGAGATATATGGTGTTGATTAGAAAATTAGTGCTGATGAAATGTCTGGGTACGGATGAGATATTTGGGCGCTGAGGAGATAGATATCTTGATGAGATTTCTGGGTGCTAATGAGATTTCTGGGTGCTGATGAGATATCTGGTCACTCATGAGATTTTTGTGTGCTGATGAGATATCTGGTCACTGATGAGATATCTGGTCACTGATGAGATATCTGGTCACTGATGAGATTTCTGGGTGCTGATAAGATAATGTGTACTGATGAGATACCTGGTGTTGATTAGAAAATTAGTGCTGATGAAATGTCTGGGTACGGATGAGATATTTGGACGCTGAGAAGATATCTGGGTGCTGATGAGATATATGGGTTCTGATGAGATTTCTGGGTGCTGAAGAGATATCTGAGTGCTGATGAGATTTCTGGGTGCTGGTAAGATATGCTGGTGAGGATGATATACATATCTTGATGTTGAAGGGATATTCTGGTTAAATTTAATACCATACTGCTGACTGGATAAATACAAATATGAAATATTATGTATAAATGTTAGTTTAAGAACAATGACAAGAGTTCACATTGTTTTGTTTCTCACTGATCGCATTTTTTTGTTTATGCAGTTTGAATTGTGCAGTCTACTTTTCTTTGTTCACCCTTAAAAACGCTAGTGTCACATTGTGGTTTACAGCTAGGCTGTGATATCTGTGCTTTTCAGCAAACTCTTAAATAGTCACCTGTTACAATATGCTTGTTCAGCCTGTCAGACTAAATCCAGTCACTTCTGGTTGTGCCACAGTACCTTGTGTCGCTGTGTCTGTTGTGCCAGTCCCGTGTATCGCTGTGTCTGTTGTGCCACAGTCCCTTGTATCGCTGTGTCTGTTGTGCCACAGACCCTTGTATCGCTGTGTCTGTTGTGCCACAGACCCTTGTATCGCTGTGTCTGTTGTGCCACAGTCCCTTGTATCGCTGTGTCTGTTGTGCCACAGTCCCTTGTATCGCTGTGTCTGTTGTGCCACAGTCCCGTATATCGCTGTGTCTCTAGTGACCTGTTCTCAGAAAGCATAGTTAAATTCCATTGGTTCTCCATGCTGCACCTGCACGGGGTTCTTCTTCTTCTTGTTCACCGGCTGTGAATTCCGGCGGTAAGTCACGGTTGTTCGTCCAAAATGGACTTTTGGCTTTTACCTTGACCTGAGTTTTGCGTGTACATCCGTTTTACTGGCTTATTTGTTTGCAGTACTCGTTCCCCGCCTCTACGGCAGATGTACTCCGACTTCGAAGGAAGACGTCAAGCCTATTTCTAGGTTGACTGTGGCCATTGTTTTGTGTGGGTCGAGATGTTGCCTTATTTGTGTAGTGTCCTCTTTGACTTTTAACAAGTGTGGCCCCCGGCATGTCGTCCTTAAGGCAGCTCTATGTAGAGTTTTCAGCCCTCAAGGGAAGGCAGGCGCAGATCATGGGCATTCCCCGCCATCCAAGGAGGCTTCCATAAATGCAGAGCCGACACATGATGCTCTGGTTCTGGGCTCACCCAAGGAATCGTCACGTCCTGCCCATGACTGCTTAACCTCACAACCGTGTATTGAGCTTCCCGCGCTACAAGGCTGCGCTCACCGGAGAACAGCCCGCAGGTCTAGGACGTTTGTGGCCACACAAATAGGTACATTCTTTTTCATCTTACGTTAGACACCTTTAACGTTGTTTCAGCTGTGCCCTTAGCACGACATAATGGGGAAGCAAAATGCGTCAGGCGTGGCTTCACCTGTTTGGTCCCAACACTCGGGCGAGTTGGACCAGTGGATACGGACATTCAGACTTTTCCTAATCGGTACGAGTTATGATCGTCGGACTTTGAGCTTGCATGTGTGCCATGGGGTGTAACTTTGTCGGACATTGTTTTCAAGCCAGCATATGAATAGTTGCTGCCATGGTGTACCTCAGCGCGGTGACGACGACACTGAGGATTGACAGAGGATGTACGTAGGTGGGATCTTGCTGTGAGAAGTCGCCCACAAGAGATGTTACTCGTCTTGGCTGCGGGTAAATCTCTCGGTCAGGGTTGAGTCTCAGCAGCACAGTTTTCCATTCGCTCCCAAATTTTAACCAAGAGTTGTCATTTGATGGTACATTTAGCAAGCAGTCCTTGAGTTTTGTTACTTTTCACCCATGCGTTTGGGGGCGGGCTGGTGAGAGCCAGAAAGGACTCTACACCTCTAGGGGACGCCAGCTCCGAGATCCCCTGCCAACTCTGTTAATGCTCATTTGAGACATTATCCGTGGCGCACGACGGGGACGTGCAACAGGAGTCTTGCATGAGGTTCCGTAAAACCAGAACAGTGAAGGACTGGCGCCCGAGTGGGGTACGGAATATCTCCTTATACACATCACATCAGACTTAACTTCCCCTCATGCCTGTGACCGAAATCACCGCGCCACGCACGGGGTTCAAAAGGTCAGGAAATAAAAACAGTGACAGAGGTCACAGCCCGGGTCACCTGATACATATTTTCTTTAGGCCCCTAGCAGTGTATTCCAATCAATGCTTGTCACTCTGTTTGTGTTTAACGATTACCCCTTCATCCATGGCTTTAGAAAATCTATTTGGTTCATAGAAAAACCCCTTTTAAGTTTATTTATTCATATCTTGATCTAATTGTTTGCGCAGATGCAAACACAGCCAATAGCACAAACACAGCCAATAGCGCAAACACAGAAAATAGCGTTAACTATGCACCTTGCTGTAGAAAAATAAGTTAACGTTTTTGAGTCCCAAGAAATGAATCATAAGTTCATAGGTTCCTACTTAGAAGCCCAATGAACGCATGATGGGCCAATTGTATGACTCTCTTAACTACCCCCTGGGCCTGTGATTCTAAACCCCCTGGGACTCAAAGAGTTAAGTGGGTTTCTCAGGTAATCGGACCCAACCGGAAAGTGATGGTTTTACAGGTTCTCCGGGTGACAGGGCTCAGGGAAACAAATAATAGTAACACTGAAACCATTCATATATGCCATAAGAGGCAACCAAGAAGGATTGACACCTCTGGCTACCTCATCTAATCAAGGTAAAGGATTACTACTTAACTCAGTCTTTCCCATTTGGCACCATGTTTTCCTGCTTACATAAAATGTAACTAGGGCTTATTTTCAGGGGATGTGGTATTTTTATTTTATTTGCGTCTTTATTTTATAAATACTTTATTATAATGTGTATCAATTTTGCTTTTAAAGCAATAATGTCATTTTATTTATATATATCCATTACCTTGTAATTCAGTATGTCCCTTGTATGTTTTTCAATAGACGGACAAAATCAGTCCGTCTGGCAGACCATCTTAACTACTTGTTATATTTGTATTACAAACATTTTTGACAATTGTTCTGGGGCTTATTTTCGTGTTAGATCTTATTTTTAGCGGAAACATGGTAGAAAGGGCTGAGTCAGGTTAGTAATCCTTGACCCTGTTTTACTTGTATGAATCAGCAAACAGACAGCACTGCTCTAGATGTTAATTGTTTTTTTTTTTTCTTAAATGAGGAAAATATTGTCGACCATTCTTATTTACCATTTAAAAAAATTATTTGTATTTCACTCCAAGCGAGAAGAGATGTCATAGAATACTATATCTCCACTGGACAGTTTTCAGATCCAATATGCAAATGAGACAACAGACCAAGCAAGATAATGTATCCAGTTTAATAAGAAGGCACAGTTGAAACTTTATCGGCGATGGACTCAGAATGGATAAGACCAGACTCCCTCATCAAACCCACATGTGGACACCGGAAGGGACCAGAAAACAGGGAAGACCAAGAGAGACCTAGTGGAAAAACCATCATCAGGTAAGGCTCAAACTTGGGCCTAACGAATACCCAAGACCTAAAACAGGGAGCAGCAAACTGCCAGACATGGAGAGCTATGACCTCTGCACCGCGCCAGGCTCAAGAGGAAAGACTAACTAACTCAGTCACCCTACCTCTGCACCGCGCCAGGCTCAAGAGGAAAGACTAACTCAGTCACTCTACCTCTGCACCGCGCCAGGCTCAAGAGGAAAGACTAACTAACTCAGAGTGTCACCCTACCTCTGCACCGCGCCAGGCTCAAGAGGAAAGACTAACTAACTCAGAGTGTCACCCTACCTGTGCACCGCGCCAGGCTCAAGAGGAAAGACTAACTAACTCAGAGTGTCACCCTACCTCTGCACCGTGCCAGGCTCAAGAGGAAAGACTAACTAACTCAGAGTGTCACCCTACCTCTGCACCGCGCCAGGCTCAAGAGGAAAGACTAACTACCTCAGAGCGTCACCCTACCTCTGCACCGCGCCAGGCTCAAGAGGAAAGACTAACTAACTCAGAGTGTCACCCTACCTCTGCACCGCGCCAGGCTCAAGAGGAAAGACTAACTAACTCAGAGTGTCACCCTTCACAGTATGCCCAGAATACGAAATGTCAGTGGCAGAGAAGAATTAAACCAAGAACTCTCCGTGTGGGTTCCAGTGCCTCGTTGTGAGGTAGCCACTGCCTCCCCTACAAGCATTTAGTAGGAGTCGAATAACTGAGAGCTTCCTTCAAAGTCGGAGGGCATCTGCCTGAGCGGCAAAGAACAAACAATTGCAAACAAATAAGCCAGTAAAACGGATGTACAAGCAGAACTCAGGCCCTGGCACAAAGCCAAAGTCCAAATGGCTGAACAACCAGGACTTTCTGCCGGACCTTACAGCCAGTGAACAACCAGGACTTTCTGCCGGACCTTACAGCCAGTGAACAACCAGGACTTTCTGCCGGACCTTACAGCCAGTGAACAAGCAGGACTTTCTGCCGGACCTTACAGCCAATGAACAACCAGGACTTTCTCTGCCGGACCTTACAGCCAGTGAACAACCAGGACTTTCTGTCGGACCTTACAGCCAGTGAACAACCAGGACTTTCTGCCGGACCTTACAGCCAGCGAACAAGCAGGACTTTCTGCCGGACCTTACAGCCAGTGAACAAGCAGAACTTTCTGCCGGACCTTACAGCCAGAACTTTCTGCTGGACCTTACAGCCAGTGAACAACCAGGACTTTCTGCCGGACCTTACAGCCAGTGAACAACCAGGACTTTCTGCCAGACCTTACAGCCAGTGAACAACCAGAACTTTCTGCCAGACCTTACAGCCAGTGAACAACCAGGACTTTCTGCTAGACCTTACAGCCAGTGAACAACCAGGACTTTCTGCCGGACCTTACAGCCAGTGAACAACCAGGACTTTCTGCCAGACCTTACAGCCAGTGAACAACCAGGACTTTCTGCCAGACCTTACAGCCAGTGAACAACCAGGACTTTCTGCCAGACCTTACAGCCAGTGAACAACCAGGACTTTCTGCCAGACCTTACAGCCAGTGAACAACCAGGACTTTCTGCCAGACCTTACAGCCAGTGAACAACCAGGACTTTCTGCCAGACCTTACAGCTAGTGAACAACCAGGACTTTCTGCCAGACCTTACAGCCAGTGAACAACCAGGACTTTCTGCTAGACCTTACAGCCAGTGAACAACCAGGACTTTCTGTCGGACCTTACAGCCAGTGAACAACCAGGACTTTCTGCCAGACCTTACAGCCAGTGAACAACCAGGACTTTCTGCCAGACCTTACAGCCAGTGAACAACCAGGACTTTCTGCCAGACCTTACAGCCAGTGAACAAAGAAGAAGAAAAGAAAACACAGAACAATCTATTTCTAAAACTTTGTGGTTTCCACAATTTAATGGAAACAGACACTGTGGTTTATACACTGTAACAAGAATTTAAATAATAAATTATCCAAACGAGGTGACTACAGTAAAGCTGTGACTACAGTAAAGCTGTAACTACAGTAAAGCTGTAACTACAGTAAAGCTGTGACTACAGTGAAGCTGTGACTACAGTAAAGCTGGGACTACAGTAAAGCTGTGACTACAGTAAAGCTGTGACTACAGTAAAGCTGGACTACAGTAAAGCTGTAACATTCTTTAATAAAAACAAATGAAAAAAAAGTATGTCAGCTTTACAGGTCCAGTTACAGAAGACAAACAAATTATGTTATGGCGATTAGCCTGCATCAGCAGAAAAATTATGAGAAACCAAACACACTGCAAACAAAACTAGCCTGACTCTGAAATTACTATAGTATGGCATTCAAATATAATGTAAACAGAGCAAAAAGAATAATAATACATGCTGATGACTAAAGCAAAAACCAGATATCATAAACTGTTATAACTGGCAATTATCTTTTCTAAGTTGACAAACGAGTCTAAGAAATCCTCCTCAGTTAGTCCATGTTTGAGGTACTGGTGTACGTAGGCTCGCGATGAGAACATGTTCCAAGCCTTGTCTATGATGTGGTTCAACGGGCGGATTGTGGCGCAGCTGTTGCTGACCAAGGCAGCTGTTTTCTCGTAGCCACAAAACATCCGAGGTTGCCTGGCAACATGAGATGCCAGCTCTGTTGGCATCCAGGAGGAGTAGATATTAGGATCTGAGAACATGGAGGTGTCGACGGGCAGCACATCTTTGCCTCTCAGAACCAGCAGCGTTGACAATGATTTGTTGAAACAAGTGTGGCCACTGGCCGTCCGACTGGCAGGTTTCACTTGCCAGTTAATTCCTGGGGAAGGAAACCAAAACTAGAAATCACACGTAAAGAAAAATATCATCATGAAGCAACTTCACTGCTCTATTTTGTCTTCTTTCATCATCATCGATCAGCAAGTTCTTTACAGAAAGTCGCTCTCTTTCAACCCCATGTGCTTTCATTTCTAATGCATCTTTAATGTCCTGTATCCATCTTTGCAGAGACTGACCCCTGCCTCACCTTCCACACACGGCACCCTCCAAAATCGTCTTTTCCAAGCCACCATGATGCTTGATGTGGCCAAAATACTTCAACTATCGAGACAAGATGCTGTTTATGAGCCAGTTTTCCTGGATGTGTTAACTCGTACAGAACGTCGATGTTTTTCCTCTTCCTGATCCATGGTATTCTAAGAATTTTTCTGTAGCATTTTAATTCAAAAGCTCCAATCTTTTTCCTCAGTGATCGAGGGAGAGTGCAGGACTGGCAACTCTATGTAGCGACAGGGAAAATGCATGATCTCCAGATTTTTACTTCAACTAATTGGCAGGTGTTTGTTATCATTACGTGCCCTAAAAAAAGGCAGTAGGCACATTGTGTTGTGGTTTAAATCTACCATGTCTACCTAAAAATACGACCAGGTCTTATATTATTTTTTGCTTTTAAAAAAAAGGGCATTAAAAAAATCTCCGGGTACAGTAATCTACATTTATTTATGTACACAATTCTACATTTATTCATGTACACAATTCTACATTTATTCATGTACACAATTCTACATTTATTCATGTACACAATTCTACATTTATTCATGTACACCATTCTACATTTACTCATGTACACAATTCTACATTTACTCATGTACACAATTCTACATTTATTCATGTACACAAATCTACATTTATTCATGCACACAATTCTACATTTATTCATGTACACAATTCTACATTTATTCATGTACACAAATCTACATTTATTCATGTACACAATTCTACATTTATTCATGTACACAATTCTACATTTATTCATGTACACAATTCTACATTTACTCATGTACACAATTCTACATTTACTCATGTACACAATTCTACATTTATTCATGTACACAATTCTACATTTATTCATGTACACAAATCTACATTTATTCATGTACACAATTCTACATTTATTCATGTACACAATTCTACATTTATTCATGTACACAATTCTACATTTATTCATGTACACAATTCTACATTTATTCATGTACACAATTCTACATTTATTCATGTACACAATTCTACATTTATCTAAATACAGCCATGTCATCTTCTTCTGCAACATCCTCAGAGCTCTCAAAATTTTTGCAACTCCATTTCCTGTAAAATCACTGGCCCGTCTCTCATGCACAGTAAATAACGCTTTCCTTATGAACCACATTGTTATCACCCCCAACACATAAATGGGACCTGGGATTCGGGGGAGGCAGCACTGTTTTAAAGCAGCAGGGTTGTGACTCTCTTTGATCTGTTTCCTGCCCTTTGATCTCTGCAGTATGAGACATGCTAGCCTCTGTAGGAGTAGCTCTTTGGGTAATTAGAACATACACGCTTACTGACACACCAAAGTGAAGACAAAGAAATACCACATTGCAAGTTATAATAATAATTTCCTTTGAAGTCAAAATACATCTGCCCGAGAAGCAAGAAAATAGCTTTTACAGACTATCCAAATAGAAAAAAACCGCACATGCATAAAATATAACAGATAAAGTTGCAAATTTTTTACAGAGCAATCAAATCGTAAACCAAAAATGCAAACCTTCTTCCATGGGAGAATCGGCAATTAGCATTTGGCGAAGATTCTTCATCAAACCTGGCCACTGATGCATGCTGAACTCTCTGGCCGCGTCCGACATCTGAGGAATGTTCTTCACCGCCAGCAGTTTGTGCTGGGGATGCGGGACCAGTGACTCCAGCAAGGAACCTGAATGATAATTCCATAATCAAACACATGTCTCCTTTCCGGCAAAACAGCCAATGATTAATAGCATCTTTATCCCTACTTTATGTTATCAGTGCCAAACATGGATATTGAATAGGGCACTAGAACAGAAAAATAACTCCCTGTGAAATGTGGTGTCTCAACAAGGTCACTAATAACATAAGAAGAGACAGGGTTACGATTACCAGAGAGAAAGTCGGAATAAGACCATGTCTGAATTACACTGACAGCAAAGAATGAAATGGTTCAGAAATCTAGTGAGAATGCAGCCAGACCAAAATGCATGTGAGACTTTTAACAGCAGAACATCCGGGAGGAAGGCGAGAGGAAGACCAAGAAAATACGGATAGATGGTGTAGCAGAAACCTGCAAAAGGAAGAACAAATCCATCACCCAAGGCACCTGAGAAGTGCAAAACAAATACAGAACACCACGACAATGGGCTACAATCTGGTATCAGTGAGACGATAAAAGAAGAAATAATCGAACAAGGTCACAGAAACCTAATCTGAAATCATAAAATTACAACACGAGATGGATAAAAAATGCTGCAGGAAAAACAAGAAGAGACTGGGTTACCAACGAAGAACTAAGAACAATGTAGGCATAACACCAGTGAATGATTTCACAGAACATCAAACAATCAAATGGTTTGGTCATATGGTCAGAATGGGACAAAATCAGCCAGCAGCTACAGCGTTCTACGTGAGAACAGCAGGTTTAAAGGCAAGAGGCCGACCAGGAAAGAGATGGGTGGAGGGAGTAAAAGAGGCACTACAGAAAGACAACAGGAGATTAAAAGAAGCTACGCAACTAACAAGACAGCAAACTACATAAAACTCCTCTCTGCAACACTTTTCTGCATAAGCAGTAAATAAAAAAAAAAAGTCACAGTTTCTTCTTTTACAGTCTCCTTTAAAAGTGACTGGCACACTTCCTGTTCTTCCCTTCTCTGCTCCTGAAGTGCCTCGGACGTCAGGACGGGAAGAGATCTCTGGAACGGGCAATTCTGTTCACTTTGTGTAAAATACTGGTACACTGTGTTGAGATAACAGCTATGATGCAATATCTGCAATCACCTTTTTAAGAGCAAACGCAGAAGAAAAAGACGGACTAGTCAGCATTCGATGAATGAAAGGTTCAATAGTATGCCGAACTTTACTTTCCATAACAATCCTGACCTGGGAGCAGTAAGAACAAAGCCTGCCTTGATGTTGATTCATTTGTTTTGTTTGTTGTGAACTCATGTGGAAAACCCTGCTGGTTGTTTGTCCACCTGGACCCTAACATTGTGTAAATCTACTGGCTTTTTTGAGTAATTTGTTGTTTCTTGCTCCTTATTTTCGGGGTGGGGGGTGGGGGAGAGAGAAAACATACCCACTTTCCCCCTAACAAGCATGTTGTGAAAGATGACATATCAGGTGTAATTCCTGCAGAATTACAGTGCATGCATCTGCCTAAGAAGCAAGGAACCAACAGTCTGCATACAAGTAAGCCAGATCTGTAAGATGGATGTGAATGCCAAAGTAGGTTCTGCAACAAGACCAAAGTCTAGAAGTGGAAAAACAACCAGAGCTTTCTGCTGATGTCTACAGCTGATGAACGTTAAGAAGAAGAGATCCTTGTCTCTCCTGCAGATGTACTTCCTGTACGAAGGAATATGTTGATCCCATAGCTAGAATGACTGTAGTCATTGTTTCATGGGACACGACCTAGCCTTATTTGTGTTGTGTCCTCTTTTTTCCTTTTTTTTAAAACAGGTGTTGCCTCTTGAGAACCTATCCAGGTGCTTTGCGACAACAGCAGCAACATCAACAGCAACAAAAAAAGATCTCAATTTTAGAATGCAATCCTCCCTGTGTGGGTTTCGGGGCTCCATTCTGGGTGGAAAACAAAGAACTGGCCCCAACAAGCATGCTGTAGGAGGAAACTAGCTAGGAGTGTTTTATTTCAGAGTGCATCTGCCTGAGAGGCAAGGAACCAATAGTCTGCACACAAATAAGCCAGATCTGTAATAAGGATGTGCAAGCAAAACCCGAGTTTTTGATCAAGACCAAAATCCAGGAGTGGATGAACAACCAACTGTTAGTAGAATGACAATTCAACGGTTTTAGTCCAACTTTGAAGGAACACATCCCTGATTTGTTGCCTTTCATGACACGCTGGTGGGGGGAGGGCGGAAGAGGGCTGTACCACCACAGGGAAAATCATGATTAGGTACATCACTAGACCTGAATGCAATAATTACCTAAATCACACGACATGCCAGCGACCGACCCTGCAGTGGAACATGGCTGCAGGACACTGACCATCTTGTGGGCGATGACCTTGTTAATGTCTTGGAAGGAAATGTTCTTGATGTTGAGAAGCTGGGTACAGATTTTGTGCAGGGCATCGTTCTCCATCACCACTAGAGCATCAGCTGTGTCATAGATGTGGGACAGAGTCAGCATGGCATTATAGTTCTGTACTATAACTTCCCCTGTGTTGTACGGCCACACCACCTGAAATAGCAGACAGCTTATTATATTCTTCTTCTAGTCGAGGACAACTTATCACAAACATCGGAAAGAGATGGTCAGCATTTTTTGGGCTAAGTTATGAGAAGAAAGAAACTGGAATATATTGTCATGACTGGAAAGAACTGTGGAAAAAAAGAGACAGAGGAAGACATGAGATGATTTGTGACCACCTTTTTTACAAATAGATAAATGCAAACTTTTGATGGGAACGTTACACTGTACTTTTGAGGGGACGTGAGTCACGTCCTAGAGCAGTGGAGAGCGCGGCCACAAAAAGTCCACAAGATTTCCAGAAAGATAAATTATGTTACACTTTATATTAAAAATTAAAACAGCACTAACTGTGTCTAATAACTCAGTAAGATAAAAGTTAACAAACATGAACAATTCAATACTTTGAACATGAACAATTCTATACATAAACATGAACTATTCAATATATGAACAAGCACAATTAAATATACAAAGATGAACCAATCAATACACAAACAAGTTAAAAAAAACAAAATCTGCTAATTATCCTGGATCTATGAAGCGAACCTTGTCCCTCTTCATGGAGCATGCCTGTTTCCACCTTTGTCAACATGCTCAGTGACTCAGTTGCAATCACGAAATGCGTGTGCAGCTATATCTCAAGCCAGCGGAGGCTACAGTGGCCTATAGAACAGCACACAGGCATGTCTGCAGCATCTGCTACAGTGGCCTATAGAACAACATACAGGCATGTCTGCAACATCTGCTACAGTGACCTATAGAACAACATACAAGCATGTCTGCAGCATCTGCTACAGTGACCTATAGAACAACATACAGGCATGTCTGCAGCATCACACCACAGTGACCTATAGAACAGCACACAGGCATGTCTGCAGCATCTGCTACAGTGACCTATAGAACAACATACAGGCATGTCTGCAACATCTGCTACAGTGACCTATAGAACAACATACAAGCATGTCTGCAGCATCTGCTACAGTGACCTATAGAACAACATACAGGCATGTCTGCAGCATCTGCTACAGTGACCTATAGAACAGCATACAGGCATGTCTGCAGCATCTGCTACAGTGACCTATAGAACAACATACAGGCATGTTTGCAGCATCTGCTACAGTGGCCTATAGAACAACATACAGGCATGTCTGCAGCATCACACCACAGTGACCTATAGAACAGCACACAGGCATGTCTGCAGCATCTGCTACAGTGACCTATAGAACAACATACAGGCATGTCTGCAACATCTGCTACAGTGACCTATAGAACAACATACAAGCATGTCTGCAGCATCTGCTACAGTGACCTATAGAACAACATACAGGCATGTCTGCAGCATCTGCTACAGTGGCCTATAGAACAACATACAGGCATGTCTGCAGCATCTGCTACAGTGGCCTATAGAACAACATACAAGCATGTCTGCAGCATCTGCTACAGTGGCCTATAGAACAGCATACAGGCATGTTTGCAGCATCACACCACAGTGGCCTATAGAACAACATACAGGCATGTTTGCAGCATCTGCTACAGTGACCTATAGAACAACATACAAGCATGTCTGCAGCATCTGCTACAGTGACCTATAGAACAACATACAGGCATGTCTGCAGCATCTGCTACAGTGGCCTATAGAACAACATACAGGCATGTCTGCAGCATCTGCTACAGTGGCCTATAGAACAACATACAAGCATGTCTGCAGCATCTGCTACAGTGGCCTATAGAACAGCATACAGGCATGTTTGCAGCATCTGCTACAGTGGCCTATAGAACAACATACAGGCATGTTTGCAGCATCTGCTACAGTGACCTATAGAACAGCATACAGGCATGTCTGCAGCATCTGCTACAGTGGCCTATAGAACAGCATACAGGCATGTCTGCAGCATCTGCTACAGTGACCTATAGAACAACATACAGGCATGTCTGCAGCATCTGCTACAGTGGCCTATAGAACAACATACAGGCATGTCTGCAGCATCTGCTACAGTGGCCTATAGAACAACATACAAGCATGTCTGCAGCATCTGCTACAGTGGCCTATAGAACAGCATACAGGCATGTCTGCAGCATCTGCTACAGTGACCTATAGAATAACATACAGGCATGTATGCAGCATCTGCTACAGTGACCTATAGAACAGCATACAGGCATGTTTGCAGCATCTGCTACAGTGACCTATAGAACAGCATACAGGCATGTTTGCAGCATCTGCTACAGTGACCTATAGAACAGCATACAGGCATGTTTGCAGCATCTGCTACAGTGACCTATAGAACAGCATACAGGCATGTCTGCAGCATCTGCTACAGTGGCCTATAGAACAGCATACAGGCATGTCTGCAGCATCTGCTACAGTGACCTATAGAACAGCATACAGGCATGTTTGCAGCATCTGCTACAGTGGCCTATAGAACAACATACAGGCATGTTTGCAGCATCTGCTACAGTGACCTATAGAACAACATACAGGCATGTTTGCAGCATCTGCTACAGTGGCCTATAGAACAACATACAGGCATGTCTGCAGCATCTGCTACAGTGACCTATAGAACAACATACAGGCATGTCTGCAGCATCACACCACAGTGGCCTATAGAACAACATACAAGCATGTTTGCAGCATCTGCTACAGTGACCTATAGAACAGCATACAGGCATGTTTGCAGCATCTGCTACAGTGGCCTATAGAACAACATACAGGCATGTTTGCAGCATCTGCTACAGTGGCCTATAGAACAACATACAGGCATGTTTGCAGCATCTGCTACAGTGGCCTATAGAACAACATACAGGCATGTTTGCAGCATCTGCTACAGTGGCCTATAGAACAACATACAGGCATGTTTGCAGCATCTGCTACAGTGGCCTATAGAACAACATACAGGCATGTTTGCAGCATCTGCTACAGTGGCCTATAGAACAACATACAGGCATGTTTGCAGCATCACACCACAGTGGCCTATAGAACAACATACAGGCATGTTTGCAGCATCTGCTACAGTGGCCTATAGAACAACATACAGGCATGTTTGCAGAATCTGCTACAGTGGCCTATAGAACAACATACAGGCATGTTTGCAGCATCTGCTACAGTGGCCTATAGAACAACATACAGGCATGTTTGCAGCATCTGCTACAGTGGCCTATAGAACAACATACAGGCATGTTTGCAGCATCACACCACAGTGGCCTATAGAACAACATACAGGCATGTTTGCAGCATCTGCTACAGTGGCCTATAGAACAACATACAGGCATGTTTGCAGCATCTGCTACAGTGGCCTATAGAACAACATACAGGCATGTTTGCAGCATCTGCTACAGTGGCCTATAGAACAACATACAGGCATGTTTGCAGCATCACACCACAGTGGCCTATAGAACAACATACAGGCATGTTTGCAGCATCACACCACAGTGGCCTATAGAACAACATACAGGCATGTTTGCAGCATCTGCTACAGTGGCCTATAGAACAACATACAGGCATGTTTGCAGCATCTGCTACAGTGGCCTATAGAACAACATACAGGCATGTTTGCAGCATCACACCACAGTGGCCTATAGAACAACATACAGGCATGTTTGCAGCATCTGCTACAGTGACCTATAGAACAACATACAGGCATGTCTGCAGCATCTGCTACAGCTCATATAAACAGCTCTAATGACAGAATTAAAACAGTAAAAACAATGAGCCAAATTAGGAGGTTAGTCTTACCTGATTTAAGATGAACGAATATGGATACTCATCTCTTAAACTCTCTGTGACATACGCACCAACTCCCGACCCTGTCCCACCAGCGAGACTCAAGAGGTTCATGAAACCCCCCAAGCGGTCACACTGCTCTGCTTCCTTCCGAACCAAGTTCATGATCTCTTCATGTGACTGTGGTCCGTGGACACAAAAGCCATGAGCCCAGTTGTTTCCCGACCCTCGCTTCTGGCAAAACCACTTGTCTGAGTATGACCACTTGTCGCTTTTTGTCGCCAACTGCAAGGTTTGTGCAATGGCTTTGGTTTCCATGTCCACTAGAACTGCTCTGGCTTTGGGTACGCCTGTGGACCCATCCCGACTTCCATGTTCTGATGTTGTAAAAAATGTTTCAGTGGAAGTCTTGACGTAGTCAGCATCCTCTTTGCTTCCAACACCTGTGGGCTTGGCAAATATGTCGTCAATGATAGTGGAAAAGAACTGGCCACCGACTTGATTCCCACACTGGCCTAGTTGCAAAGTGATTACTGACATGATTCTGAAATAAGATGGATGGATTTTGAGAAATTAATGCCTGGAAGATTTTAATAGACAATCTCTTTCCAGAAAACTCAACTCTCACAAGTTGTAGTTCTTTCATTGCAACTGCTTCAGTACTCTCACCTGTACAAGTCCTGGCTCTAATTTTGTACAAGCCCTGGCTCTAATTTTGTTTCAGGCTTGGCTCTAATTTTGTACAAGCCCTGGCTCTAATTTTGTTTCAGGCCTGGCTCTAATTTTGTACAAGGCCTGGCTCTAATTTAGTTCTAGGATTAGCTCTAATTTTTTACAAGTCCTGGCTCTAATTTTGTTCCAGGATTAGCTCTAATTTTTTACAAACCCTGGATATTATTTTGTTCAAGGATTAGCTCTAATTTTGTACAAGTCCTGGCTCTAATTTTGTTCCAGGATTAGGTCTAATTTTGTACAAGTCCTGGCTCTAATTTTGTTCCAGGATTAGCTCTAATTTTGAACAAGTCCTGGCTCTAATTTTGTACCAGGATTAGCTCTAATTTTGTACAAGCCCTGGCTCTAATTTTGTTCCAGGATTAGCTCTAATTTTGTACAAGTCCTGGCTCTAATTTTGTTCCAGCTTTTGCTCTAATTTTGTACAAGTCCTGGCTCTAATTTTGTAGACACTAATTTTCATTTTGTACATGTTTCAGCTTTCTTCTAGTTGAACTATACTCCAGTTCTAGTGGGATTGTTTTGCCAGGTATACCCCAGCTGTGGATGATTTGTCTTGCATTAGGTTTGACAGTGGTACTGAGAGCTGACTGTTCAGTAGCAATGGCAAACTACTGAATGTAAAATTTGCCTAGAAAAACCACAGCAGCCAAAAAAAAAAAAAATTGCTGGGGTTGGTTCTGCAACATCCTGTAAAGGGGACACAACTAACTTTGTCAAGCATATGGTGTCTGACTTAAATTTGTACAGACCATTTTGCATTCAATGTATGATGTGGTCAACATCACGCCAGCTGCCTTTACCTCCCATGAAATTACCTGGTACCCATTTAAGGCTGAATCAACTCGGAGCCAAGGTCAACTTTCCCCCAGTTCAAATTCCCTCCCTATGCAGATCTGAACCGAAGACCTTCAGGCCGACAAATGAGTGTATAGCGATTAAGTTACACTACCTACCACGACTGCAACACCATGGGCTTCTTTTTCACTTTAATTTTCCTGCTTAGTGTGTTGAGGGATATGGAAGGTTCTGCTTTTATGCTCTTCTCAACGCCCCAACCAGAGACACATTGTGCTGCTGTAGAGTTTCTCTGATGTCATCTTTCTATCTTGTTCTTGGTCTACCTCATGTTCTACATCCCTCACCTCTTTTGGCATATACCTTAAATGGGATAGTGTAAGTGGGGCAACCCTTTGAATTGCTGTCTTTGTATGTAATTTACAACTGGTTCTGTACTAACTTTTTCTTTTATGACTTCACTGCTAATTTTCTTTTCTGTGATGTTTCTTTGTACTGATTAAGATGTCTTGTGCTGTAAGAAAGTGGAAATTGTGGGGCTGTTCCAATTCGTAAATGTTGAATTAAGAATCGATATCATAGCACTCGAGATGCTCCCATAAGCACTCCAGCCACATCTTCAGAAGCAAGCGAAAAATTAAAATTATGATGGCACCTTTCCCTTGAGAGTTGAGGGTCAACAAAATCCCTGGTAACTTCCCCCAGTGACACTTTAATCAGACAGTAATGGTCTATTTGTTCCTCTGCACAGTTCACTCGGCCTTAAAAAAATCTAGCTTGTCATACAATGATTCACCACCAAGTGGCGCAGAACCTGCTAGTATATCTGATTGCTCATTTCCCAACACATCTGTATGACTTGGAGAAAACATCCAAAGGATGCGAACTACCCAGGACCTCTGAAATGATGTTTGCCACTCTGAATACTTGATCTGATTTACTTCACCGGATACTGTGTTTGCCACTCTAAATACTTGATCTGACTTACTGCACCGGATACTGTGTTTGCCACTCTAAATACTTGATCTGATTTACTGCACTGGATACTGTGTTTGCCACTCTAAATACTTGATCTGACTTTACTGCACTGGATACTGTGTTTGCCACTCTAAATACTTGATCTGACTTTACTGCACTGGTTGCTGTGTTTGCCACTCTAAATACTTGATCTGATTTACTGCACTGGATGCTGTGTTTGCCACTCTAAATACTTGATCTGACTTACTGCACTGGATACTGTGTTGTTTGATACTCTAAATACTTGATCTGACTTACTGCACTGGATACTGTGTTTGCCACTCTAAATACTTGATTTGCTTTATTGCACTGGATACTGAATTTGCAACTCTAAATACTTGATCTGCTTTACTGCACTGGATACTGTGTTTGCCACTCTAAATACTTGATCTAATTTACTGCACCGGATACTGTGTTTGCCACTCTAAATACTTGATCTGCTTTACTGCACAGGATACTGTGTTTGCCACTCTAAATACTTGATCTGTTTTACTGCACTGGATACTGTGTTTGCCACTCTAAATACTTGATCTGCTTTACTGCACTGGATAATGTGTTTGCAAATCTAAGTGTGCATCAAGTATCAATAGTTTATAGTACTATAATCATCATCATGTAGCAGGTTCTTTTGATCTGATTCAAGAACCGACATCACAGCACTCGTGGCATTCCCATAAGAGCTCCGTCCCCATCATCAGCAGCCAGCAAAGAGTTCCGATACTAATGGTGCCAGTAGCTTTCTGATTAAACGTCCGTCTTGCCTTTTCTCTGAGCCTTGAGCTTCTGCCAGAACCTACGTCACTCCCAACTGCATCAATCTCACCAGACTGTGGTGATCCATCTGCTCCTCCGCATTGTACACGCTTTCCCACAAGGCACTAACCACGTCTGCCCTATCATGTAGCAGTATTACACTAAGTTGTGCAGAGCCAGCCAGTATGTCCGCCTGTTCATTTCCCAACACATCCGCGTGACCTGGTGAAAAAATCCAGACAATACTCCTCACTCGTGTCCTCCGCAGCGAAGCATGCCACTCTGCACAAAGCATATCTGTTCTGATCTTCCTCAGCAGAACTTCACTCTCATCACAGTCTGCCTGAAAAGACTCAGTCTCTCGCCAGTTCTCCCGCCTCATGTACTTTCATACTCAAGGAGTCACTTATATCCTGTGCCCATCTTCGTGTTGGTCGGCCCCTGCCCCACCTTCCTGGTACCATGCCATCTGCTATTATTTTTTCCAATCTGTCATGGCGCTTGATATGACCAAAATATTTCAGCTTCTGAGACAGGATGCTGTTTATTAGCCAATCTTTCTTGATGTTCAGATCTTTCAAGATGTCAGTATTTTTCCTCTTCTTTGTCCAAGAAATTCTGAGAATCTTTCTATAGCATTTCAGCTCAAAAGCCCCTATTCTTTTTTCTAAAGGACTGGTAGATAGTCCACGACTCACATCTGTATGTTGCTATATGGAAGATGCACACAAGCACAATTCTAATTTTGATCACCTTGCTGGTGCTTAACCATATACGTTTAATGCTGTTTAATCTTTACATTGCCAAGGCCATCCTCTTTTTAATTTCTGTCAAACAGTCTCCACTGCTATTTATTATAGAGCCTAGATATTCAAAGTTTGTGACATTTTCAATTTCTTCATCATTTATTGTTTTTTTTTTTTTTTTTTGGGTGGCAGCCAGTTTTATCTGTGGACATTATTTTCGTTTTCTTTAAATTTAAGAACAAATTTTGATCTTCACTCTGCTTTTGGACAGACAATTTTAAATTTGCTATTTCAATTTCCTTTACTGCGTTGCGCTGTTCGAAAGGAAGACTGTGTCATCTGTGTAGCGGAGTTCCGGAATAGGGTTGCCACCAATTTTGAGCGGATCATATCATAACTGTATCAAATCTGGTCATTTTTGACATTTCTCATTATATTTTCTGCATATATATTGAATCGGTATGGTGAGAGAATGCACCCCTGCCTCACTCCCTTTTGCACCTCGAACCAATCCGATGTTTCACCAGCTGCTCTGATGGCTGATTGATTGGTGTTCAACTAGTCATTGTCATACATATAAACTATAAACAAATTCAGCAAGATAAACTAAAGATAATCAAACACGCACCTTTAATCAAAGGGAAACATTTTAAACGCTGTCTAGTTCTTCCTGCAATATATTTACTGTGTTAGCGTTCAATTATTGCCGACTGTTGGTGTCTGTGCTGCTGATGATCTGAACTTGTTGAAACACATCGTTCTTAACACATCTTACACATCCCGTTGACTAGCTCCCATTCATGATTTTAAATAACCGTCACAACAAAAACACGCGTTTCGTAAATTCAAATTTAATACACTTTGTAAGAAAATTTAAAACTAAAAAATATATTTCAATTTTGCTCAAAATATTTAAAATAGATACTAAATAATTTATTTACTTTCAAAATGCAGAACATACTTCGATGAAATTAACTTTGTTCCTTGCCTTGACAACAACTTGTAGTTTTACAAAGAAGATGGCTGCCTGCACGAAGGTTATCGGTGAAATCGTTGCCAGACTCAAACCTGCCACAAACTGCCAGCTTGCCGTCAGAAATGTATGTTTTCACAATATTAAAACATATCTTTTGTGTTCTTTTTGCATTCACCGCTTCAAACTTCAGCGGAATGTTCACGTTCTGGTTGTTTGTCCACTTCTGAACTACAAAATAGTTTTGGCAAGGTGCAAGTGTCATAAAGTAAACTACCAATATTTGTGAAAAGGAAACGGGATGAGTTCCTGCCAAAAGATTTTGTCAGTTGTTACCTGTCAAGAAAAGATACCCGGTCAAATGCTTTTGCTTGTTGTGTTTGTGAGGCGTTACAGAATAGTCAGAAGATGGTGGTGTAGTAGTGGCAGCACTTGATCTCGAGCATGCCTACAATAGAGTCGGATAATATCCGAGATATGATATTTTGATATCTTTGCTCATGGAGAAGGTTTCTTTTCCCAGGTTTGTGAACTGGATAGCAGCTGTCCTGCATTGCCCTTCGTCTGGGTACATGGACCTCAGAACCATGTAATATAGTCCCTGGACTACCCCAGCGTTCTGCAGTTTCACCAGGGCTCCTCAATGTGTGTGCAAGATTGCAGAACTTAAAGTACCAGGTGTTGGAAGGATATTGACACTCGCAAATGATGTTCTTGCATATAGCAGGGGAGTGATATGCAACAGGCAGCTGAAGAGCTACAGGCAACTGTAGACAAAGTGACTTAACTGGTATGCAGAGATGGGGCTGTCATCAACTCAGAAAAGGCGGCTGTTTTATGGTGCTGTCTGGACAATAGAATTTCAGTGGCTAATGTTCCGAGCTTTACAGGTAGTGACAGAAACATAAAAAGAAATGCAAGAGATGAACACATTTGTTAAGTGACATCTGAGCCTACACTAAACAATTGATGAACATCCAACACAAACTTTTCTTCACTGTAATATTACTGTCTGTGAGTGCACATGTGATGCCTAAGAAGAATACAATTAAGTGGCAAGACAAAGTCACAAACACAAGTATTGGAAAGAGCAAATTTGAAAACAGTTTTCTCATACTCAGTCTTTGAAGGCTCAAGTGGCTGGATCTCACCTGGAGAATAGAGGATGGCAGAATCCCTAAGGACACCCTCTATGGTAAATTAAAGACGGGTAAAAGATGTCCAAGCCAAGCTCTATCTAATATGATATAAAGATGTGTGCAAACAGGGCATGAATGATACAGGTATTGAGGTGACCCCGTGGGGGGAAAAAATGCAGTGGACCATTTTGTGTTTAGGAAGAAATGATTTAAAGGATGAGAGCTGAGCCTCTGAGAAGAAACAGACTAAACACAAATGTTGACAACAACGGTCCTGAAACCCCATGTTATAGCTGGAAAGACTTTTCTTAATGTGGGCAGGTTTTGCTAGTCACATTCACAATCGCTGTGGACTATTGAGTCCCATGCCTCCTCATAGTGCAATATAACACTGTCATATGGAAAGACGGAAAGGTGCCAATCAATCAGATGTACACACTCATCCACGTGGGACTCCACATATGACTTTATTAATAATCTTGTACGGTTTAACATGGTTTTTGCTCTTTTTTGGGGGGGGGGGGGGGGGGGGGGGGGGGGGGGTTAGACCCACTGCTGCTTCCATGAGTGTGTTTTAACAAGGAACTAATTAGGCATATTTCCTTCACAGTCAGAGTGTATCTGTCGGAGATGAGGGAAGTCAGCAGTCTGGAACTTTTGGAGAACAAGACCAAATTCCGGAGATGGATGAACAACCAGAACTTTCCACCTTAGTTTACGGCCAGTCAGCGCTAAGAAGAAGAGAATCTTTGGATTTGCTTCTGTTCACTTCCATCCAAATAGTGGCTTGTTGAGTCACTTCTTAGCCGTCATTTTGGATGCAGTTCCCGTGGGAGTAAAAAAAAAAAGTCTTCTATTGAAAATAAGAGACAGGGTTTGGGGCAGAAGGGAAACAGTGATACATTTGGGCTAGTATAAGTAGGGTGGGAACTAGCATCTGAGAAGTTTAGCATTACTATTAGTGATTTGTATGAGCTACGGCATCCTTGTTAGCCAACTTGTGGAGTAAGTTAATGTGTTCTTTTTAATTTTATTTTTAAACAATACAGGCATCTTGGTCAAAGTTCTTCCGCAAATCCCAAGAGGGAAAAGAAGAAGAACCTGGTTCTGAACCAGATGTCCGAGTAAGGAATGCAAGCAGACATGATGGGCATTTAACCAAGTCCAGACTGGATTCTTTGCAGAAGAAGATGTAAGTAATCCATCAGTTTATTCACTGTAAACGTTTCTTCTTCTTCTCCTCCTGCTGCTGCTACTTTCATATTTTTTCCTTCCTTTTGTCCGCCAGTGGAACATAAGCACTCAGCTAACACACAGAGTCCTGTCCTTTGTCCGCCAGTGGAACATAAGCCCTCAGCTAACACACACAGTCCTGTCCTTTGTCCGCCAGTGGAACATTAGCCCTCAGCTAACACAAGCAGAACACACACCCTGTCCTTTGTCCGTCCGCCAGTGGAACATAAGCCCCTCAGCCAGTGGAACACCCTCACACACACATTCCCTGCCCTTTGTCTGCCAGTGGAACATAAGCCCTCAGCTAACACACACAGTCCTGTCCTTTGTCCGCCAGTGGAACATAAGCCCTCAGCTAACACACACAGATTCCTGCCCTTTGTCCGCCAGTGGAACATGAGCCCTCAGCTAACACACACACAGTCCTTCCCTTTGTCCGCTAGTTGAACATGAGCCCTCAGCTAACTCACAGAGTCCTGCCCTTTGCTTTTATGGACAGCTCATTGAGTGAACTCTCCAATTATTTCTATCACTGTAAAGACATTCTAGTTTCATTGTTTTCAGGTTTTCTCAGTGTATGTCCTATCCAACAGCATCTTTTCTTTACCTCTTGGTTCACTGGAATTTGTTTAGGTTTCTCCCAGAGCTGTGCATAGTAGTGCTATCATACCAGTTAATTCCATCTATTCTGCCCAAGCACCAGTTAATGAATGTTTGTAGTTTATCAGTAACTGTTTTAGTTGTTCTCCATACTTCTTCTCCACGCAACAGTAGTGAATTAACATTGGAGTTAAATATGTTTTAGTTTAATATTAGTTTTTTTTTCTTTGACTTACACTGTGGGTGTATTAACTAAAAAGAGAATTTGCGCAGGTTTCCTTTTGACCCAAATGTTTTTTTTTAAAAACCAGGTTGAAGGCAGGTATTAGTGATAGATAGAGGTCAGGAATCACACCATGGGTCACCCAAGAGGAAGGTCTTCTGTTTAATGTTTTACACCCTCATGTTAGTTTAAAAAAAATAGAAATGTAAATTAAAAATTTTCTTTAAAACAATTAGTTAGTGGCCTGTGTAATATATGTAATTTATGTTTGTTGAAACAGTTTCTTTTCCCCAGTAAAACCTACAGGTTCATGACCCATTGTTGTGTTTAGCATTCACAGGGTGAAGGGGTGAAGAATTGACATCTTAGGGCACCCATAGATGCCAGACATCTCACACTCCAAATGTCTTCAGGTGTAGATCAGGGCTATTCACTTGGCAGCCAGACTTGGCCCACAGAGGCCTAGCAAGTGACCCGCAAATCTCCTGACAATTATAATAATGATCTTTGTATGCTATGGCTCAGACCTGTGGCCTATGTTGATCCCTGTTGCTTTTAACATTCTGACCCCTTGAGTAAACATAGTCATGTGGTCGTGGTCTTGCTGTTGACTGTTCCAAGAGTATGCAGGTTGTACATATATCATACTCTTCATCTTGTGCGCTCTGTTTTGCCAGATCCACACCTAATTCTGAATTGGGGTCTCCGTTGCGAAGTGGTCAGACCGTTTGCCTCATGCTGTGATAGTCATGTGTTCATTTTACAGCTGCATAAATTTGTTCATGCATGGAGTTTTTACAGATCCCCGGAATCATTGCCTGAGCTATGGTGTTCGTACTTTGTGTGACACTTTCAGTAGGTGGCAGGTCATTCTGCGGAGAAAATGGAACGGAACCATGTGGGGTAAAACTCCTCTCGACCTTAACATTTAGTTCTGAATCTCCCCCGTGTGGGTTCCGGGGCCCCATTGTGGGGAAAACAAGAATAGACCCACTGCCTCACCAAAAGCATGTTGTAAGAGTCGACTAATTGGGGAGCTTCCTTTGAAGTCGGAGTGCATCTGCCAGAGAGGCAAGGAACCAACAGTGTGTATTCAAGAGAATGAGATCTGTAAAACTGATGCACACGCAACACTCAGGTTCTGGAGCAGGACTGCAGTTCAGTAGTGGATGAGCAACCAGAACCTTCTGCCAGAGTTTACAGCTGGTGAACGCGAGTAGAAGAAGAAGAAGTTCTGAATTGACTCAACTTTACATATGTTTTCTCAGGACTTTACCCGGTGTCCTTTTAAGCTTGCGTCAATCTGGAGGGCCAAGGTCATATTTAAAGAAAAAAGTCTGCCTCCCTCGGGACCCGAATCCATGACCTTTGGATCTGCAGGCAAGTGTTAGGCACTACACCACGGCTGCCAAACGAAGTGGAGGGATACCGATTTATGAACAAGATACAAAGAAGTGAAAAACAGGAAGTACAGCGAAACAAATTTATAAACTGGAAGAACACGAAACCCGATTTATAAATCTGGAAGTAAAAAAAAAACTGCCATTTATACCACTTTTGGGGTGTAAGCAAATGGGGTGGGGGGGGCTTTGAGCCTGAGGTTTTACGGCCGAATGGCTAGTGCTGTCGCCATGACTGTGCAGATGATTATCAAGCAGTTTGGAAATTAAACACATTTCTATTAATCCATCCGTTATATAAACGTTTTATTTTAATTAACATTTTACTTTCATATTATCATTTTATTTCATGTTTAATTATAGATAAAATATTTTGTAAAACTATTTATAAAACAAAAAGCCAAAGATGTCTTTGAATTCCTAAGCAGTTTTGTACATTTACCATTAAAATTTTCAGTAATAAGATAACACATGCATTTAATTATAGATTTAACACATTCTTTCGTCTCTCTACTTCTGTTATTTGCCCGAAATAGATCTCGTATGAACACATTCTAATTATTTCTTTTGTTATTTGACTCTCAGCTTGGTGTGGATGTTACAGTGTTGGGGTATTTTTCTTTTTGTCCTCATCTTTTAATCACATGTTGGTTGTGGGGGGTGTCTCTGCCATGTACCCAAGGGGGCAGCACCTGAAAAAGGTTGGAGCCACTGCTCTAGTCTGTACTTATCTGCCCTATTTACAGATCTGTCTACAATATAAGAGGATACAAGCCACCTGATGATGTTGAAGGAAAGGTCGCATCCGTGGCTTCCGCTGTTGTTGGTACCAAAGTCAGCCCTTCCTTCAGACTCGATGATCGAGTCGTAAAATTCAAGGTACTGTGAAGTGCTGTTTGGTCAGTCAGGTACTGTCTCCACAGTGAAGATTGGCTGCATTTGATCTCTAACCTGTCTAATGTCTCTCATCCATCTCCAGATGCTATTTTCCTACTTGTATCACTGACTACTTGCTCTCTCGCCTTCGACTTTTCTATCCAGCATGTTTTTAAAAAAAAATAATTTCTTTTCATGTGGCCAAAATAGTTGTCTCTAATTTTGTTTTTTGTTTGTTTGTTTGAAATTACTTGCGATATGATATCCTTATTTAACATTATTATCAATATTATTTCCTACAGGGTCTGGCAATCAGTATATTGTACGTTCTTTCCTATAATTTCTTATTTCTGACAATCAGTATATTGTACTTTCTTCCCTATAATTTATTATTTCTGACAATCAGTATATTGTACGTTCTTTCCTATAATTTATTATTTCTGACAATCAGTATATTGTATGTTCTTTCTTATATTTTTGTTTATTTCTGACAATCAGTATATTGTACGTTCTTTCCTATAATTTCTTATTTCTGACAATCAGTACATTGTACGTTCTTTCCTATAATTTATGATTTCTGACAATCAGTATATAGTATGCTCTTTCCTGTAATTTCTAATATCTGACAATCAGTATATTGTACGTTCTCTCCTGCAGGTTCTGACTGTCAGTATATTGTACGTAATTTGTTTTATAAGTTCTGACAATCAAAATATTGTATGTTCTTTGCTACATGTTCTGATAATCTCTATATTGTACATTCCTACCTGCAGGTTCCTAATCAATTTACTGTATGTTCTTTCCTCAGGTTCTGACAAAATTGATGATGGAGTTTGACCATGGCGTGCCGAACAATGAACTGAGTCACATGAATACCATCCAAGACGCCGTCAACTTTTTCTCAACCCCCGTCCACGACAGATCATCCTTCGAAGGCATGGCCAAGTTAAATCTCCCCAAAAATCTGCACATCCAGTTTGAGCCAGTCAGATTTGACCCAGACACCGACACATTTTTTGACGGAAAGACTGCATTCCCAGGAAGGCCGACTGTTGTTACTTCCTTGAAGTACTGCCGAAAGTACAAAGGCAACTCTGGACAGTCGAGGAATGAGAGAAGTGTCACCGAGTTTGAGTTACAACAGCAACTTGAACAAGATTATGAGAGGTTGGGCATCAAGGATCCAAGAAAAAGGAAATTCTAATGATGATTGTTTCCTTTAGGCTCATCCAGTGAGAAGTGTAACTGTCTGTGATTTGTGTCGTCTTCCTCAAGGTTGTAGGAGGTTGGGATTTCTTCTTGTCACCTTTAAAAGGGTGTTTCACAGATTAATTGTGGTTTACAGCAAGGCTGCGGTATCTTTCTTTCCGCCCAACACATCCGATTTAAGTAAACCCTTAATTAGTTGCCTTATATGACATGCTTGATAAGGGTAGGGAGTTTTCCTGTCCAAAATGGAGCACTAGACATGGTAGAAAGTTTAGCTTCAAAGGGGAAAGTTGGGTATAAGAGTTACAAAAAGAAATCAGTTGTGATCATGACTTTTCCTTTAGACTCATCCTGCAAATGCGGGTCATACAGTAGCTCAGGGCTATCCAGCTGGTGGCATGTGGGTCAAATCTGGCCTGTGAGGGCCTAGCAAGTGGCCCGCGGATCATTGCCAGTTGTGTTAATAATCTACGATGCTGGAGTTTGGGCCTTTGATCTGTGATGATGCCAGTGCTCAGATTTTGGTCCCCTGAGTAAATTTAGTTGAATAGCTGTGTGGTTCTGGGGGGGGGGGGGGGGGGAGATACCCCTTGCTCTTTAACCAGAATATTGTAAAAAATTACTAATAACGGGTTTGCTGCGATCAGATCTGTTTGGCCAAATTGCAATTTTAAGAGTGAACACACGCACAAAATGTTTCGAGTAAAATCTCTTCAGTATATTTGTGAGTTTTGTCTAATGTGTGGAATCAAATTGAAATGTATAACTTGTCATTTGTTGCTGCCAGTCATTGTCATCAAGTGCCATGCCGGCTTGTGGGGATTCATGCTTCTCTGTGTCGCACACATTTTATGCAGAATGTGTCGGCACACCTGTTGTTTGTCAAGCCATGATGACAAGTTATTAAAATGTCTCTTGTCCCCACAGATTGTTCCAGTTGTTTCTGTGTCATGATGAGAAGATGTTAAAATATTGTCTTGTCTTTCTTTCTAGCTGTTGACTTTTTACATCCTTCCAGATGTTTCTGTGTCATGATGAGAAGATGTTAAAATATTGTCTTGTCTTTCTTTCTAGCTGTTGACTTTTTACATCCTTCCAGATGTTTCTGTGTCATGATGAGAAGATGTTAAAATATTGTCTTGTCTTTCTTTCTAGCTGTTGACTTTTTACATCCTTCCTGTTGTTTCTGTCGTAATGAGAAGATGTTAAAATATTGTCTTGTCTTTCTTTCTAGCTGTTGACTTTTTACATCCTTCCTGTTGTTTCTGTCGTAATGAGAAGATGTTAAAATATTGTCTTGTCTTTCTTTCTAGCTGTTGACTTTTTACATCCTTCCTGTTGTTTCTGTGTCATAATGAAAAGCTGTTGAAATCTTCTCTTGTCTTTCTCTGACCCTTGTGCCCTCACATCTTTCCAGTTTTTTTTTGTTTGATGATGAGAAGCTGTGATTTCATGAATTATTTATGTTGATTTGGGAGCATGGCGTTTGTGATCGTCGTAAATTGTGATGGTTAATATTTTTTCTTCAGACAAAAACAGTACAAACAATAGATTGCAAAAATTATTGCCAAAATTATTGCCACTCCTATTTGACTGTAGTGTGAATCTCATGCGAGAAAATGAAATGTTGAATTTAGAAGTGATTTCACAGCACTCAGGACACTCCCATAAGTGCTCTGTCCCCATCTTCAGCAGCAAGTGAAGGATGCTAACTGCCCTAACCTCTGAAGCAATGCCACTCTGAGCATACCTGTCTCCAGGTTTCTCAACATACTCAGAGTGAGTTACAATTATGACCTGTGTATACAGTGAATATGCTAGTCAATAAATTGTGCTGTCTTATGTTTGTTTTTGTTCAAATTTACAATGAGGAAACATTGCTCTGAATAACCAGAAGACTACTTTTTCTAGGTGTCCATTGGCTGTAAACTCCAGATTAAGACCATACTTGAATGATATTGACAAAGCATGAAATGGTTCAGCCATGAACATGCAGCTAGACAGAACTGCATATGAGATTTTAAAAAAAAATTTTTAATTTTTTAATGCCAGAGCATTTTGGAGAAGAGGATGGTGAAGCTAAAACCTACAAAAAGGGTGAACAAGCCCTTCACCAGAAGTGTAAGACAAATACTGACAACCACAACACTATGCTACAACCTGGTATCATTGAGAGGATCTCTACACGCTACCAATCAAATAGCTTGGTTAAATGATTGTGTATTCTAGACAAAGCATTAAGGTCTACTGTGTTAGTAAATTGTTGCTGTGATTGTTATTCGACATATGATTGGTTCATATAAATTTCTGTAACCTATGGTGCCATTTCAATGGTTTGAAATGAATTCTGTCCGTATTCCATAGTTGTGGATTTCAAGCTGTACAACAGACATGGCCAAAAAGATACCTTTTTTTTGGGGTGCCTAGTTGACCATGTTCTTAGTGCACTTGTATCCATGGTGAGGCGCAGACGCCATCTGGAGGTGACAGGTTCAATTCCCGGCACGATAACTATAGCTTTCGATTTTTATGTTGTCTAGTGTGTTGTTCTATTTTTCTACTTCTTTCTATGAGTGCAGATCAATACACTTTCTGTTACTGGATTAATTGACGCTAGAGTAGAGAGAAATATATAACAAGATTGAGGAGACCTGATGAAGATCTATCAAAATTAAACAAAAAGTATCAATTAACTTATATCTTTATTTGAAATATTCTATTTCTGCGATACAATGAAGGTTATGAAATGTTTGTACGTAATACAAGTGTATGAGTACAACATGGCATGAACAACTTGACCAACTGTCATATTTGGTACTTGAAACACACAATAAAAAGTAATTATGACATAAATATTGATAAAATATCACATCATAAGTAATTCCACTTGGAATGTATGAGAAAAAAATCACTATAACAAATCTATCAGCAGTCCTGCCATGCTCTCTAGCATAGTTGGCTTAACCTGGATTGCGCGGTGAGCGGGTGACGAACTCCTTGTGGTCCGGGTTCACTCCCGGGGGTAGGCAGAAAAGCCACATTTCTCCCAGATTTACGGTATTTATCACGAAATCTTCTTCATCTTCTTCGTGTTCACCAGCTAGAGTTCACTCTGGTGGGAAGTTCTGGTTGCTCGTCCACTACTGAACTGCAGTCCTGCTCCAGAACCTGAGTGTTGCGTGTGCATCAGTTTTACAGATCTCATTCTCTTGAATACAGACTGATGGTTCCTTGCCTCTCTGGCAGATGCACTCAGACTTCAAAGGAAGCTCCCCAATTAGTTGACTCTTACGACATGCTTTTGGGGAGGCAGTGGGTCTATTCTTGTTTTCCCCACAATGGGACCCCGGGGGAGAATGGAATCAAGGCTGAAAGGTTGCGATATCCATAATACCGAACCTTAACAACTCATGGCTTCTGGATACTAAAACAAACAAACAGCAATGCTGGACAACAGGGTTGTATATTCTGTAGCCCATTTTTATAGACCAATCTACACTTAATCAGAATCACGCAGGCCACCTTGACTTCTCCGGATATTTACCTGGAACTCACTGACCTGCGGGTCGACCCAGGATCCCCTGGAACTCACTGACCTGCGGGTCGACCCAGGATCCCCTGGAACTCACTGACCTGCGGGTCGACCCAGGATCCCCTGGAACTCACTGACCTGCGGGTCGACCCAGGATCCCCTGGAACTCACTGACCTGCGAGTCGACCCAGGATCCCCTGGAACTGACTGACCTGCGGGTCAACCCGGGATCCCCTGGAACTCACTGACCTGCGGGTCGACCCAGGATCCCCTGGAACTCACTGACCTGCGGGTCGACCCAGGATCCCCTGGAACTCACTGACCTGCGGGTCAACCCGGAATCCCCTGGAACTCACTGACCTGCGAGTTGACCTGGGATCCCCTGGAACTCACTGACCTGCGGGTCGACCTGGGATCCCCTGGAACTCACTGACCGCCGGGTCGACCTCGGATCCCCTGGAACTTACTGACCGCCGGGTCGACCTGGGATCCAAAGTCCTTATTGGAAAAAATTCCAGCACCATTTGGAAGTGAGCCCATGACCGCAGGCGACCATCTAGTCACTACACCACGGCAACTCCCTTGCGAGTAATAAGCCTTGTTAAACTGGCTTCCTTCCCTAATGTGCTCCAGGACCCCATTGTGGGGAAAACAAGAATAGACCCACAGCTTCCCTAACAAGCATGTCCTAGAAGTCAAGTAACTGGGGGCTTCTGTCGAAGTTCATCTGCATGAGCAGCAAGGAACAACCAACTGCGCACAAATAAGCCAGTAAAACAGACTTACACACAAAATTCAGACTCTGGCACACAGCCAAAGTCCAAATGGATAAAAAACAAGGACTTTCCTCCAGAGCTAGAAGAAGAACTGGCTTCCAGGATACAGAACTGCTGAGTCCACATGTGGTGGTACACGGACTGCTGCTTGTCAAGATCTGCCTCACTTCTCTATGCTGATCCTAAAATTAAGTTCCCAACTAGGAGCCTGGCCAACACAGATAAGACTGACACTTCCTTTGAACAACATTTTCGATCCATCTTCTTCTTTGCATTCAGTTTCGTATGCTCAGATCAGACTGTCAGGTGGGTGGCCTTTATGAATTCGCATGTCAGCAGCAGGTCCTTCATGGTTCCCCATAGCTTGTTCTGCACATTTTCCTCTTGAGGCCAGGTGTCTTTTTGAAGTTGTCGGTAGAGTGGGCAGGTGTGCTGCAGAATGTGACAGGCACACACTGGGCACTGTACAGTCTTTATTTGATGTGTGTGGTGATTGAGTCTACAGTGATCACAGATGCAGACACCGGAGAGTGAGAAGCAGTAAGGAAATTGATCTATCTATTGCTTAATTCTGTTAGGTGTCACAGGCACGGCTGATGATTAGGTTACAAACAGTGTGGATTCGACTGCGCGATTGTGCCAGTAGAAAGAATGGTAGATAACAGAGAGAAAAAAACTACTCAAAAA